GACAAGAAGTTACAGTTAAAATGGATTTTAAACTACATTAAGTAATACTTAAAAAGTTTTTTGGTAGTGGGGATTGAACTCCCAGGGTCTTCACACTGAGCTTTATGCCCGTGCTCCCCGACACTTATTTTTTCCCCCTCCTTTTTGAGACAAGATCTTTCTAAGTAACCAAATTGCCCATGTTAGAGTCAGACTTGCAATCCTTCTGCCTCAGCCTTCCAGAATGCTGGGATTATAGCGTGTGTCACCATGCCAAGAAACTCTAAGCATCAATACACTCTTCACTCGTGTTCAGGCCAGGGAGGTAGTTCGGTAGCTAGGACAGCACTGAGGCACTTAGCCACACTTGTGATTCTAATGACGCCAACCCTGGCAGTGGTTCTGTCAGAGGCAGTGTGGGTCCATTGCAGGAGGGAGGCTCAATGGTGACCCATGCTTTCAGCTGGTTGTTCATTGTTCTGGATTGTAACACTCAGATTTGGAAAGTAGGACATAAATCAGCTTTGCCGTGTTGCCACCCAGGCAAGGATAAAGATATCATTTTCACACTTGAGGGCTCATTAGGATCCACATCTTGCTCTCAGCCTTATATTGTCCAATTTCCAGCCTTGTGATGCTTCCAGGATGCTGGTCCTACAGAAAGTGACAGACCCAAGGGTTCACCGCTGGGCCTCTTAGACTCCAAAGCCCATTCCACAATGACAGAAATTCCTTTTGCCTTGCACGGAAGGAAGAAGCAGCAGAGTTGAAGATCCAAATGCCAAGAGTTCTTAAGGGACTTCTCTTGTACATGCAATTTCTTAATTTTTATGCCCAAATTTTCCCTGTCCCCAACAAGCCTCAGCGTACTGGGCAGACACGGCCTCTGGTCAGTCCACTCTTTCCAGGAGTGGGATGATCTGGTTGCTCTGACCCTGAGGAGACGAGGGGCCCAGAGGCCTCACTAATCTGTTTGCTTGTCCTGGACTTTGTCTCAGAGCAGCTTCCAGGAAAGGCACAGATGACTTTCTGACCTGTTTCTCCTGTCCTTGTGGAAGATCAGATGGATCAATGTGACACTGTATGTTTTCCCAGCTGCCTCCTGCAGGAAGTTTCTAACTCCTGTGGACATGAGTTCCACCTTCCAACCCTCCACAGCTCTTCCTTTTAGTGCCTCTTCAGCCTCTGGCTCCTCCTTGGGATTTTTTTTATTTTTGTATTTTTACTGGTACCAGGGATCGAACTCACGACCACACACTTGCAAGGCAGGCGTTTATGCCACTGAGCTAAATCCCCAGCCCCCTCCTCCTTGGGATTTATGGGGCTTCCTTTGACTTGGCTGGCTCTCTTCTCCAAGGGCATCAGCCCCCTGCATGGCAGCCAGTTTCCAAGTGGTACCCAGAACCTGGCATACGCAGTCTACTGTGGGCTCAGTTCATGCTGGTACGGGAAATAAGCAGACCCTCAAATGTACATTGCAGTAGAAGTGAAAGTACAGAGGAGTTTCCTAGATACGATGCTGACAACAAGAGATGAAAAGGATCATATAATATGTAGTTCAGCTTTTTCATCAGACAAAAAAAAAATTATGGTGGAAAAAACAGAACAGTGTTTGCCTCTAGGAGGGCACTGGGGATTAACTGAGTATCGCCTTTTTTTTGGTAAGGATGATCGAATTCACAACCTTGTGCTTGCCAGGCAGGTGCTTATGCTGCTGAGCTAAATGCCTGGCCCGGGGGTTAACTGAGAAGGGGCATGATGAATATTCTAGAATATTCTAGGGTGGCAGTAATATTCTAGTATATATATATATATATATATATATATATATATATATATATAGAAAGAGAGAGAGAGAGAGAGAGAGAGAGAGAGAATTGTTAACAGCAGTGATATTGTCACCAATGGATCAAAAAACAAAAATTGTTTCTTGGAGGAGGACAGGAATAATTCAGGTAGCCCTGCGGTTTGTCTCCCTCTCAGTGATCACAGGATATAAACAGATATAGAGTGTATTTGTGGTATTAAGGTTTCATGGTGAGAAAATGATTTTAAAAGTTGTCTAAAAGTCTCCTTATAGGGTTGATAATGAAATAAAGATTATAAATACTCCATAGCTTTTTGAAATTTCAAAAAAATTTAACCATTTTTTATTGCGAGAAAATGGACAAAATACAAAGTTTCCCTCTAATCCTTTTTTTATTTGCTTGATCAAGGTCTTGCTACATAGTGTAAGCAGTCTTGAACCCACTGGGAGTCCAGGCCAGTCTTGATCCTCCTGCCTCAGTCTCTCTTAGTACTGGGATTAGAGGCATGGGTCTCTACCCAAGGGTAAAATTGCTAGATAATATGGTAATTCTCTGTGTAATTTTGCAATAGTATTTTTTATTTTATCTTAAAGAGAATAAAACCCAACAAAACAAAACAGAAAAAAGCCAATCAAAATAAAGTAGTAAAAATGGTACAGAACTTCAAAACAGGATAATGGGAAATTAATGATGGCTACCATAATATATCTTGCTATCTTTGTAATAGTTATCTGTACCATTACATAAAGAAAAATCAAACAAAACAAGACAGAATAAAACCAATCAAAACATAACACTGAATAAAAACAATAAATCAGAATAAAACAAAACTGAGAAAAATACTGCACATTGTTATCTTAAAAAATGTTGCTCAGGTTACCAGACCCAGGAATAAAACAAAACAGTAAAATGGAACAAAACATTGGTTTTCAAAAACAAGACAGGAGGAAACCCCCATTGCTGACACAATGCACCCTGCCATCCTCCCGGTAGATGCCCAGACCTGGGGCTCCAGGCCTTGCAGAGTCAACCAAACAACACAAGCATCAAGCCTCTTTCTTACCCTCTGTTGCTATCATTTTATCCTAAATCCTCTGAATCAGCAGGTGGCAGAGAGTAGGCCATGCTTTTCTGGTTTTTCAGCTGCATACCGGCTGGCTCATGGGAAGGCATGGTTTCTCTTTTGGTTGAGGCTCTTTCCAATCAGTGTGGTGGGGCTTGCTTCATGGGAAAGCATCTCTTTGTGTAATTTTTTGAGGAAGCATGATACAATTTTCTCCAGCAAGCTGAAACATTTTATATTCCCATCAGCAATGCAAAAGGGTTCTGATTTTTCCATATCTGGTCTATATCTTGATAGAATTGGGTAGAAGTATTTGTCAAGATTATCTATTTGTACATTTAGGATTTGCACATTCTGTCTACAATGCAAATTTCAGCTGTACAAGAAAACCAAACAAAAGGGAACAACAAATAAATACTGAACTTTAGTTAATGCTATTTTTTTTGGAGTGTGTGAGGGGAATGGGGATTGAACTCAGGGCCTTGTGCATGCTGAGTAAGCATTCTATCACTAAGCTACACCCCCAGCCTGATGCTATTGTTAAAGATGAACAAAACTAGGCATTAGCTAAATTAGAAAAAACAGATTTTTATTCAGCAACTACTGAAAGCAGGGCAAAAAGCTGATCTGCATTACAATTTCTGTAGGGTGGTGGAGCATTTTAAAGGGACAGTGCAAGAGGAAAGAGGAGTAAGGGTCTCACTCAGATTAAAAGGAAGGAGAGAATACAAAGGGTTGGTCAGTGTAAGTGTAGTTAAATCAACTATGTCTGCTAGTTGGCAATTATGGAAAGTTCATTCATGTGGCAAAATCTCTTGACTTTCATTCAAGGCTGAATTATAACCCAATATACATATATACGGAAGTTAGGGCTCTCTCCTCCCACATAGACTGGGAGATAGAAGTGACATCTAACTTTTTTTTCCTTTTGTCTTCTTGAGAGAGGATTTCACTGTGCAGTTCAGGCTGGCCTTGAACTCACTTTGTAGTCCTAGGGTGGCCTCCAACTCATCCTTGATCCTCCAGCCACCGCCTCCCAAGTGCTAGGATTGTAATCGTGCACCACTATGCCTGGTTAACACTTTCTGATAATTTTTTTTTTTTTGGTTTTGAGACAGTTTCACTATGCAGTTCAGGCTGGCCTTGAAGTCACTTTGTAGCCCAGGCTTCCCTTGAACTCACAGCAATCCTCCTGCCTCAGCCTCCTGAAATTACATTTGTATTGTAATTTCCTCCTGAAATTACAAGCATGCACCACCACATCTGGCAGATGATTAATATTTCAAAGGAAGAGATTTTGGTTTTGACATATTCCTGGTTGTGTGTGTGTGTGTATATATGTATATATATTGAAATGAAATAGAGAAAGGTTTTATGATTATATATCTTTTCTAAAAATAAATGCTCTGTTGGGCATAGTGGTACATGTCTTTAACCCCAGCATTTGGGAGGCTGAGGCAGGAGGACTGCCATGGATTCAAGGCCAGCCTGAACTACAAAGTGAGACCCCGTCTCAAAGACAAAAAAAAAAAAAAAAAAAGTAAATGCTTTTGGGTAAAGCGTTGCTGCGTTCTCTTGGAGATCCTGTCTCAAACTGTTAGAAGTTGGGCTACACACTGTTCAGTTCTCACGGCCGTGGTTTAAGTCATTACACTGAGAGTTCTTTTAAGTTCTCAGTAAGTCGGCTGAATTTTTAAGGATCAAAGTGCACTACCGGTATCTACAGTGTATTTACTTGGCCAAGTATCAAAACGACGAACTGGGCTGGGTGCACAGATTAGACCTGTTAAAAACCAGACATACTAAAAGTTACTGGTGTAGCTAGAAGCTGCCACCTGCTCATTAGAATGTGAGCTCCAGGAGACCAGAAACTTTCTCGACCACACAAATAGGAAGTCAGTAACTATTTGTAGAATGCCTGGACTGTACTTGTAAGGAGCTCAGAACCAGGAAGAGTCCAGCGAGTAGAAACTATACAGCCTATATTATCGCTAGCACCAGCGCGATTGAGCGCAAGCCGAGTGCACAGGACTCGGTAGAGTCGCTCTGGCTGCCCAACGCTCTGGCTCTATGGTAGGTCCTCCCGGGGCGGCGGAACCGCTCTGGCTGCTCCAGCGTTGGCTCTATGGCTTCTCCTCCGGGAATATCCGAGCATGCGCACAGCCTCCCAGGCGAGGATCGCTATGGCAGCGGCGTCGCGGTGGGCTGGCTCTTGGTTCTCTTACCGCCGCCGGGCCGCCTACGCTGCCCACCCCACCGCTGCCTCTCGGGCATGAGTGGGGCCTACCGCCGTAGCCCACTGCCTTGCCCGTCGCTTCCGCTGCATCCTGACCGTGGGCCTGCGCCAGGAACATGCCCCTGGCCGCCTACTGCTACGTGAGGGTCGTGGGCCGGGGCAGCTACGGGGAGGTGACGCTCGTGAAGCACCGGCGGGACGGCAGGCAGGTCCGCGAGGCTGGGGCCCGGTACGGACGGGGAGGGCCGAGGGCGCTGTCCGGAGAAGCAGGCCGGATCATCTGGGATGGCGTTTCCATGGGGAACTTGTCCAGGTTATCAAAGCTAGGCCAGCACTCCCTGTAACATGTGTCCCAACCAAACGTCCTCTACTTTCCTGTGTAGTATTAAGTAGTGTGCTTGATCTGCACACCTTTCCGCATCCCTGACAATTCCTTGAGCGCAGCATCCTGCATTCCCGGGGTCTAACTCAGCGACTGGCAAACATTGCTCCTTGAATGAAGAGTCCCAAACAGTTCTCCTGCGGTCTGCTGGACTCACTTAAAACTCAGCTCTTCATTTTCCTGTCAGACCTCTCACGGCCCCCATTTCAGTATCATCACCCTTAAAGTTGTCAGAGGTGGCCACGTGGGAGTTATCTTTAATCCCCCCCGCAACTCCAAGTCTGTTTGTCACTAAACCAACAGGCCTCTCCATCTCCACTGGTACCAACCCAATCCAGCATGTCTTTCTAGCGGAGCCATGGCTATGGCCGTTGGGTCTCAAACGGACCCTGCCACATACTTGTACTTCTCTAATCCCTCACTTTTATCCAGTCAGTGATCTTTCTGACATTTAAATGTTATGTTACTACTCCTTTGCCTAAATTAAAGCACTTTATCTCCACCCACAGGGTAACAAGTCAGTTCTTAAGTATGATTTATTTAGGCGGTATTAGGGATCAAATCACACCTCCAGCCCTCAGTGTAGTTTATTAATAGGGTGAACATATATTGTAGAAGCCGAGGCAATTTTGAAACTGAAAGAAGACAATAGTTACATCAAGGTAAGACAACCCAGTTGAATCAGGAACACTAAGAAGAGATGATCCCCTTAAGTGTAGGACACATTCCTCTGTCTCAGGAGCTATTCTGCCTGGAACACAAGCTCAGGCATAAAAGATTTATTCAGTGGGTATTGAAGAATCATTGGATTTTTGAGCCGAGGATGAAAGATTACTTGCTCTCTTTGAGCAATAGTTTATATTTCACAAAGCACATTTATCTATGTGTTTGTTCAAGAGATGAACTGTATGATCTTTGAGCTGAGGGTAGTGTATTAAATGTTAGAGATTACTGATTTTTTAAAAAGGGGGAGTAATTTCGTATACTGAAGGTCAGTGACTTCTAACTTTATCGGGTCATATGTTTCTTTAAGAATCTAATGTAATTCATAGACCCATTCTGTTGGCAGGTATATATTTAAGCCACATTTTTATGTACCTGTGTAAGGAGAACTTAAGAGTTCAAGGAATCTGTAACACAATTTTTTTTGTTTTGTGATATTGGGTATTGAACCCAAGGCTTTGTGCATGCTTAGGCAAGTACTTTACTGCTGTTACATCCACAGTTCCAGGTTTTATAATTGATCTAATGATATGTGAGTTCAGATTCACTCTTTTAACTGTTAATAAAAATGTATTTTGTTGTTTTGTTTTAAAACTGTTTTGCTATGTTGTACAGGCTGGCCTTGAGTTCGGAGGCATAAATGATCAGTCTGCCTCAGTCTCCAAAGCAGCTGAAACTGTAGGCTTCTGCAGCAATGGAACTGTGAAATGCATGTAGAAAGGCTAATTTTTTGTGACCTCAGTTGGCCATAAATCTGTCTTACAAGAAGCATCATTAGTATTAGCAAGTATTTTCCCCAGTGTTATGGGGAATGATTGAGCGCAGCATCCTGCATTCCCGGGGTCTAACTCAGCGACTGGCAAACATTGCTCCTTGAATGAAGAGTCCCAAACAGTTCTCCTGCAGTCTGCTGGACTCACTTAAAACTCAGCTCTTCATCTTCCTGTCAGACCTCTCACGGCCCCCATTTCAGTATCATCACCCTTAAAGTTGTCAGAGGTGGCCACGTGGGAGTTATCTTTAATCAATGATTCCTCAATACCCACTGAATAAATCTTTTATGCCTGAGCTTGTGTTCCAGGCAGAATAGCTCCAGAATAGCTCCTGTTTCTTTTTTTTTTTTTTTTTTGATACCAGAAATTGAACTCATGACGGCGCGCTTGCAAGGCAGGCACTTATGCTACTGAGCTAACTTCCTGCCAGTTTTATGCTTCTTTTTTTTTTTTTTTTTTTTTTTGTCTTTTTCGTTTTTATCGGTACCAGGGATCGAACTCTCAACTGCCTGCTTGCAAGGCAGGCGCTTATGCAGCTGAGCTAAATCCCCAGCCCCAGTTTTATGCTTCTTAAAAAAACAAAATAAATACATTATTGAATAGGCTCCAGAAGGGGCCAGGGATTTAGCTCAGTGGTGTAAGTGCCTGTCTGGCAAGCTCAAGGTCGTGAGTTTGATCCCTGTACAAAACAAAGGAAAACAAAACAAGCAAAATGAACAGGCCGCAGAAGGTTGACTTTGAGAACATTCTTGTGAGCTTCTAGATACTTTAAGAACATACAAAACCGTGTTTCTATAGTAAAACACCTGTTTCCTTCATTAGTATGTCATCAAAAAACTAAACCTCCGAAACGCAACCAGCCGAGAGCGGCAAGCTGCTGAGCAAGAAGCTCAGCTCCTGTCTCAGCTGAAGCACCCCAACATTGTCACTTACAAGGAGTCGTGGGAAGGAGGAGACGGCCTGCTCTACATCGTCATGGGCTTCTGTGAAGGGGGCGATCTGTACCAAAAGCTCAAGGAGCGGAAGGGCCAGCTGCTGCCCGAGCGTCAGGTGGTGGAGTGGTTTGTACAGATCGCCATGGCTTTGCAGGTGCTGTGCTGTCTACACACTGTACTGCTTGTTCCAAGGCAAGAACATGGCAGATGTATTTCAGGAAATGTTTTTCAAAATGCTTACATTAAAAAAAATGTATTTTTCTTTTAAGCTGGGTGAGATGATGCGTGCAGGAATACTAGCATTTCAGAAGGCAAGGCAGGAGAATTGGAGTTTGAAGTCAGCCTTAGCTACATGCAAGACACTGTCTCAAAAAACTTTTAAAAAGAGGAAAAATAATGTAGTTTTTATAAAGTAAACTCAGTTCTTCTTGCTCTAGCATTTGAATGTGTCTGAGTGATGTCTATGTGACACAGGTTTCATGTCTATTTAAAAGAAAAGCAAATTTTTGAAATCAATTATAGCAAAGTCAGTTTTAAGGTCTCTGAGTTGACAGAGGCAGACTGTTATCTGCTGATCAGCTGTGTTGGGCTGAAGGGTGGCTGGACTAACTAGTATTTCTAAACTGAGGATTTGGGATTTTATTCTCTGTGGCAGTGAGTAGAAATGCAAAACAAGGGCTAGGGATTTAGGGTGTAAGCATCTGCCTGGCATGTGCAAGGTTGTGAGTTTGGTACCCAGTACAAAAAAAAAAAAGAGAGAAATGTAAAACAAGTGTGTGTTTGGATGAGCACAAACCCCAAAGTGAAACTGTATACTAACTGCTATTCAGTAACTGGTAGAGTTTTCTAGAACCAGTTGGCCTTGTTTAAATTCTGAGATACTTTTTAAATAAAAATGATCTTAGGAGCAGAATAGGGTGGCACACACCTGTAATCCCAGCACTCAGGAGGCTGAGGCAGAAGGATCATCATAAGTTCAAGGTCAGCCTAGACTACAGCAAAACTATCTCAAAAACCAAAACAGAAGTAAATAAATATAATCTTATACTATATTCGAAAATGTTATTAAGCTTAGGATTTCATGGGGAAAGGAATGTGTACTTGATGTTTAAGCTGTCTTTACCTTGAGTGGGCGTTTATAAGCATATTTTAAAACTAGATCCAGGTAATATAAAAATGACATAAATGCCAAGGCACCAGGAAACGATTTTGGAAGACATTGGGCCACTTAATGTATAGAATTTAGTTTTCTTGCTTTGAAAATTGTGAGACTGTTGCGTTATTTTGTTTGTTTGTTTCTTTCTGTTTTTGAGACAGGCTCTCACAATGTATTCCAGGCTGTCCTTGAATTCACTGCTCAGCCTCCATACACTGGGTTTACAGGCTTTGGCCACCATACCTACTGTAGACTTTTAACTTCAGAGTTTATAAACCAGTAACATTTTGGTGATTAAGTAACTAAAGCTCTTTAACTTATGCAATGACTGATAATATTAAAAAGCTAGGAATAAGTAAAGACTTTTTATTTATTTATTTATATATATTTTTTGGTGGTACTGGGGATCGAACTCACAGCCTTGCACTTGCCAGGCAGGAGAGGCGCTTTTGCCACTGAGCTAAATCCCCAGCCTAAGAAGCTAGGAATAAGTAAATCAGCATATATGTAATGAAATTTTATTTCCTCTCTCAGTATTTACATGAAAAACATATCCTTCATCGAGATCTGAAAACTCAAAATGTCTTCCTGACAAGAACAAACATCATCAAAGTGGGGGACCTAGGAATTGCCCGAGTGTTGGAGAGCCACTGCGACATGGCGAGCACCCTCATTGGCACACCCTATTACATGAGCCCTGAACTCTTCTCAAACAAACCCTACAATTACAAGGTAGGATCGGGCTGCGCGTGATGGCTTGCTGTGTCTTTGGAGACTATCCAGAATTTCAGAATTTTTCAGAATAGTTAAATTACTATTGTCTATGGCTCTGTTAAGGGAAAATAGAGTTAAAAATTTTTTTGTTTGTTTGTTTAAAGGGGGAAAATGTAAGTAAGATACTTAAACATTTCACCATTTATTATTTTTCTTTTCTAGTCTGATGTTTGGGCTTTGGGATGCTGTGTCTATGAAATGGCCACCCTGAAACATGCCTTCAATGCAAAAGACATGAATTCTTTAGTTTATCGGATTATTGAAGGAAAGGTAAACATTACCCGGAATTAACTAAGTAAGGTTGATATAATGCATCTTTGCAAATAGCTATGGACAAAATCAGTGATTATTTAAATCACTTGATGAGTAATCATTAATATTAGGCAGATAATTAAGAGTGGTGGGTTGCATGCTGGACATGTGTGTGCCTAAAATCCCAAGAGTTGGGAGGCTGAGGCAGGACAATCACCATGGGCTACATAGTAAGTTCAAGGCCAGCCCGAACTACGTAGCAAGACCCTGTCTCAGAAGACCCCCCCAAAAAAAGAGTGATGGCTTGCTTCTTTGAGAAGGGTTGAATTTGAGGAGATGTGATCCATCCGTTCTTAGTATTAGTTTGCAAAAATGGTTCAGTGGCTCAAAAGAATCAGCTTTTTGGAAACTTCTTCCTTAGTCACAAGAGTACAAGTGCTCTAAGGTGGTATGAGTATCTTTTCCTGAGCAGCTGTGGATGAATGAGCCATGCCAGTGATGAGTCTACTGTTTTAACTTTTTCCTTTGATAATTGTCATGGTCACTGGGAAGTGATTAAGAACTGTCAGCCACACCTGTAAATCCCAGCACTCTGGGAGGCTGAAGTAGAAGAGCTGCAGGTTCACTAATTTGCAGCCTGGGCAAATTAGTGAAACTCTGTCTCAAAGCATAAAACAGAGCTGGGGATGTATCCTAGTCCTGGGTTTAATCCGTGGGGCCAGGATTGTAGAGGACCAAGAAAAGCATTGTCAATAATATGGATGCCAGAGTTGCCCAGCTGTGTGTTATTTCAGTGAGACCAGTTGCTCTTTTGCAGTCTGAGGCATCCATGCACCAAGGGGGGTTTTGTTTGTCTGTGTGTCTGTATGTGTGTGTGTATGAGCAAGTCCAATTTGCCCCTAATTCTGCTACTTAAAGAATCACATTTGGTGGGAGTGAATCTCCCATCTCTGTTTCCATCGCTTAGAGCTATCTATTGGTGGCAATTTATTTCAAGGCTGCTAGAGTTCACCTGCCTGTAAACAGACAAGGTATACACAGAGCTACTTTTTTTTTTTGGTAATGGGGATCAAACTCACTACCTTGCATTTGCCAGGGCAGGTGCTTACGCCGCTGAGCTAAACCCCCAGCCCTCACAGAGCTACTTTTTTAAAAAGTTCCAAAATACAATCAGGCTGTACATAGTGACATATAACTTACTTTTGCAGTTTGCTATACTTGGCATATCTTGCTGGGCACTTGTCTTTTATTTTTTAAGCAGCAGTTTAGTATTCCTTCTCTTTCTTTCTTTTTTTTTTTTGGTACCAGGAATCGAACTTAGCACCTGTGCTTGCCTGGCAGGCACTTGTGCTAGTGTCCTTTAAGCCACACCTGTAATCCTAGCATGCTAAGGCAGAAGAATGGCACGTTTGATCCCAGTTGGAGCCACTGAGTGACTCAGTGAAACTGTCTTAAAGTGAAATTAGAAAGGGAACAGGAAATGATGCAGCTCCCTAGGTTCGAACCTCAGTAACACACATACACACAAAGTATGTGCCATAATTATTTTGTGGAATAAATGACCATAATTTAATGCAAGTCCATAGATGTTTGTTTCCAGGTTTTAACTACTGTAAGAACAGTAATGCATTGACCATCCTGGTGTATAAATCTTTAGAAATTCATGCTGTTACTTTTCGGGGAGAGAGTTATCCTCTAATATGACTGCTGGGTTGAAAGAAACAGTTTTATAGTGTTACATGTTATTTCAATTAGAGTACCAGCATACTTGCTATAGACTAATATGCTGATTATTTTCTACTTCTATGGATGTAGGACTTTTAATAAATATTGGGAAACCATCTTTTACTTTGTTTCATAAGATCATTAGTCATAATTGCAGGATTATTTTTCTTTGTAGCTGCCACCAATGCCAAAAGCTTATAGCCCCGAGCTGGCAGACCTGATAAGAACAATGCTGAGCAAAAGGCCTGAAGAAAGACCCTCTGTGAGGAGCATCCTGCGGCAGCCTTATATAAAACACCAGATTTCCTTGTTTTTGGAGGCCACTAAGGCGTAAGATACTTCCTTGAAAATAGCTGGGCTAACTAGATGAAGTAAAAGAGGGTGGCTTCTATAATTTTCATGTGCAAGAATTTATGGTGAGTTTTTTTAAAACACCAAGTAAACTGTGCTTAGAATATATAGAGGAGGCAAAATTTTACCCTCTTTGGGTTCTTTTTTTTAAACCTGGGCCTGAGAATTAAACTGATGAAAGACAAATTAAGAGATGAGAAGCATACAGATTTAAATTTGTCTACCAAAGTTTTAGGTGAGCCAGGAGCCCTCCTAAGAGGAGGAAGACCCAAAGAAACCTAGGGCAGATGTGGTGGTGCAGTTCTGTAATCCCAGTACTCAGGAGGCTGAGACAGGATCATTGTGAGTTCAAGATGAGCCCGGGCTACAAAGCAAGCTCAAGGCCAGCCTGAACTGCATAACAAGGCCCTGTCTCAAAAAGACCAAAAAACAAACAAAAACAAGAAGTGAAACCTATAGCTTTTATAAAAGATTGAACAAGAAAAGTAAGCGTGGAAAAGTAAACTTTGTGAGGATCAAGGAAGATCAGAATTATTTTTAATATGGTCTGTTTGTACAGTCTTATCTGTCTCAACTTTTCATTCCTGATGACAAGATTGTTATTTTCCTTCTGATACAGGGAGAACATCTCCCATACAGGGTTTTATCTCTTGGTTTCAGAAAAATGGAGAGAACTGTTCAGTGAACCATTACAGTCTTTACTATGTGTAAAAATAATCACATAAAATAGTATTCAAATTTATGAGACCATATATAAAGCTCACTCTTGATTCACATAGTTTTTCAAGAAATGAATTCCTCTTATCAACTCTCAGGTTTTACATTCACTAACTGAATGTCTGGGAGCTAAGACGTAGGGCTGATCAAAACTGTCACCATCTCTGTCTTCTCCGTCTTCCTTGTGGCAAGTTTAATGTGCAAGGAGAGAAGACAATAATAGAGGGCCCCAGGGACTGAGACTGTCTTTTTGTTTACATTGTCTGTAATTTCCAAGCAAGCAGGCCTTCCAACACTCTGATCTCCACGTTCTCATTGACTTCTCCAGAGGGATAGTCCAGTTTTAGAAATAACACTAAAACGGTTGGGTTTGATGCTATTCCTGTATGCATTTATTCTGCAAGTGAGAAAGTGTATACCACACAGTTCTCTACCAGTCAGATTTGTCAAATCACCTATGGCATTATTGCAAACATGAATCTTGAGAGGAAACTTTCACTGGTACTTCTCTACATGAGGCACTTTCTCATAGCATTTTTTTTTTTTTTTTTTTTTGGGGGACTGGGTATCAAACTCAGGACCTTGCACTTTGCAGGCAGCATTTTTATTTGGAATAATTTTGTATTTACAGAAAAGTTGCCAGGCTAGTACAGACAGGATCTGAATACTGTCACCTACTAGAATATCTGTGTACCCTCTCACCTGCTTTCATCTTTGGCATCTTATACTACCATGGTACATTTGTCAAAACTAAGAAACAGGGCTGGGGTATAGCTCAGCAGCACAAGCACCTGCCTGGCAAGTGTGAGGTCATGAGTTCAATCCCCGGTACCAAAAAAAAACACCTAGGAAACCAACCAACATTGATGTGTTGCTGCTGAACTCCAGACTATTTGGCTTTTGGTAGTTTTTCCTGTCATGTCCTTTTTCTGTTTCTAGATTCAGTTCAAGTTACTGTATTACCTTATATCTCCTTGGTCTTTTTGAGTCTGTGATAGTTTTTCACCCTGTTTTTTATGACTTTGTTTTGAAAAGTACTTGTCAGGTGTTTCACAAAATACTTACCAGATTTTTAAGACTATTCTCTATTCAGGTTGCAGTTTTTTAGAGAAGTGTAATGTGTACACATGTTTTCATATATGCATTAAAGCTCCTTAATCTTGACTGTACTGATATTCTTTAATTCTTTTCTGCCTCATAAAGAAAAACCTCCAAAGCCAACATTAAAAACGGTGATGCCAAATCCAAGCCTGTTGCTACAGTGGTCTCCAGGAGGACAGAATCAAATCATGAAGCAGTCTACCCCCAGCTCCCCTCTGCTGAGCACCCCCAGACACGTGTAATGGTAGGTGGCTTTGTTTTTTTTGGGTACTGGGGTTGAATTCACAACCTTGTGCTTGCCAGGCAGGCGCTTCTGCCACTGAGCTAAATCCCTGGCCTGTACGTGGCTTTTTAAAGGCTCGTGATTTAGAGACTGTATTTTAGAAGACAGGTTGCCTGGACAAATTATGTTATGGGGAAATTATTACTAGAAATTCTGATGTGCAATTAATCCTGTATCCTAAAGAAAGAATACTGATGAAGGTAATTCTTTTAAATTCACTTTGTTCACAGAAGACTCAAATTGTCAAATTATTCATGAAATCAGTGTTGTAATAACTTCTTAGATTTTTAAAGGATGAGGTTTGCATGACATAAAGTGAAGTTTTTCAAAGTAAACAATTATATGTGTTTAATAATTCACAAATATGTGCAGCCGTCATCTCTTATGTATGTTGTTTGTTTGTTGAGGCAGAGTCTCACTATGTAGTTCAGGCTGGCCTTGAACTCACTACATAGCCCAGGCTGACTTCTAACTCACAGCAATCCTCCTGCCTCACCCTCCCTAGTCCTGGGATTGATTACAGGTGTGCGCCACCACACCAGGCCCATCACCAGTTATTTAATTCCAAACATTTTCATCAGCCTAAAGGAAATCCTTTACTCATTAAGCAATCACTTCTCATTTCCTTCTTCACCTCACCCCTGACAACCCCCACCTCTGTCCCTGTGGATTTAGGTATGAATGTGGAGTCACACATATGAATGGAGTCAGACAATATATGACCCTTTATGCTTGGCTTTCACTGAGTGTTTTTAAGGTTCATCCATGTAGCACATTTTCGGACTTCCTTTGTTTTTATGACTGGTTAATATTCCATTTTACGTGTATTCCACAGGTGGTTTATCCATTCATCCATTGGTGGTCATTTGAGCTGTTTTCATCTCTTGGCTATTGCTATGAACATTTGTTTAGTACTTCAATATTTGAATACCTGTTTTCAGCTCTTTGGGATATATATCAAGGAGTGGAGTTACTGGGTAAAATGATAATACTGTATTTGACTTTTTGATAAACCTCCACACCATTTTCCAACAGCAGCATAGCAGCTGCACCAGTTTACAGTCCATCAGCAGGGCACAGCAGTTCCAGTTTATTCACATTCTCATAACATTTGTTATTTTTCTGTTCATTTGGGTTTTGGATAGGAGCGATCCACAAGATGTTATATCATTCCATTGTTGGTGAGCATTTCCGAAATCTTTAAGTTGAACGTTTTTTCTTTTTCTTTTTTTTCCATTTCCTGGTGCCATACCCAGTGGCAGGAAGTCCTTTTATTAAAAATGGTTATGACAATAATACAAGAATTTAGAGTGAGCCCAAAGACTTGTTCGCAGCTCCGGTAGAAGGAAAAGACTAGGGTGTGGAATAAGCAGGTAACTTTTAAGGTCCATAGGGCTGTGATGTCTTTAACATGGAGATCTCTGATCTACTCTTATGACAGTTTGCAGAAAGAGCTGCTGTTCCCTGCTTGTATGTTTCTTCTGGAGTTGTGTGTGAGTCTGGTGTCTGCTGCCCCAAGGCAGCCAGATCACAGCTGTGCTCTTCTAAGCAAAATGATTCTTCTAAGCAAAGGCCCCAGCAGGGCAGTAGAAGCATGGTCATTCTACTTGACAGTGGATTCCTACTTGGCCTGGGTTTCAGTTCATAGTTCACTGGCTCCAAGGCAGGATGGCATGCATAGCCCGGGGACATGTTCACCTGGAGTCAGATGGGAAGCAGAGAAAAACACAATTTGTCTACGTTTTCTTTGTTCTTTGGTGTCATATCCAAGAAATCTTCGCCAAATCCAATGTCATTTTGCCTTATTTTTTCTTCTGAGAGTTTTATAATTTTTGGCTTTTACATTCAGGCCTTTCATTCATTTTGAGTTAATATTTATATAAGGTATTTCAAAAGGCTTCAACTTCATATTTTTGTATGTGGGTCTGGTTTTCTCAGCACCGTTTTTTGAAAAGACTGTTCTGTTCAATTTATTGAATGATATTATAGCTGAAATTTATTGAGAGGTGGTGCTATGGCTAGAATGTTTCCAACAAAACTCATGCTAAAATTTAATCCTCATTGTGAGGTGTTAAGAGATGGGATTAGGTGGGGCCTAAAGGTAATTGGATCAAGAGTGTAATTAGATCAGGAGTGTAATCCTCAAGAATGGATTAGTCCACTCATGGATTAATGGATTAATCAATTATTTTTGAGAATCAGTTTGTTACAAAAGCCAGTTTGACTGTTTTAGATATGTTCCTTTTGCCATGTGATTTTTTTGTGTTACCCTGATACTCTTGTGGAGTTCCCTCTAGAAACAAGGTCCTCACAACACATAGCCCCTCTACCCTGGACCCCACAGTGACCAAAACAATGAGTGTTATGCAGTTACAGCAACAGAAAATTGATTAACACAAATAGTTGTATTATCTTCATCAATAATCACTTGAGTGCATGTAAGTATTCATTTTTAGGCTTTATCTTTTATTCCATTTCTCTGGTACTTAATTTTAGTACCAACTGTTTTGATTATTATAGCTCTAGAATAAGTTTTAAAATTGAAAAAGGTGAATATTCTTTTTCCTTTTCAAGATTGCTTTAACTCTTTGGAATTCCTTGAGATTTCTCAGGCCTTCCATGATGGATTTTTTCTGTTTCAGAAAAAAAAGGGCGGGGGACTGGGGGTTTAGCTCAGAGGCATAAGCACCTGCCTTGCAAGCAGGTGGTCGTGAGTTCGATCCCCGGTACCGATAAAAACAAAAAAGACCAAAAAAAAAAAAAAAAAAAGTTCTTAGGAGTTTGAAGTCGTACTGAGTGTATAGATTATTCTATTAATGACGTCTTAATGGTATTAGTCATCTAATCTATGAACATTTCCACTTATTTATGTCTTAATTCCTTCTTCCTTCACCTCTTTCCTCTTCTTCTTCCTCTCCCCTTCCCCTCCCCTCCCTCTCCTCTATTCCCCTCCCCCTTCTTCTTCTTTGTCTTCATCTTTTCTTCCAGACAAGGTCTTATTATGTAGTTTAGTCTGGTACTGAACTCACTGTATAATCTAAGCTGGCCTCTGACCTTAGCCTCCCAGAGTGCTGGGATTGCAGGGACTCACCACCAAGCCCACCTTTAGTTTCTTTCAGATCCTTTGGCTTCTTAGTTAATATCTAAGTGTTTTTTTTTTTTTTTTGTGCTATTATAAATGGAGTAGTTTTTGTTTCAGATTATTCATTGTTAGTGTGTAGAAAAGCAGTTAATTTTTGTGTGTTGATTTTTGTCTCCTGCTTCTTTATTAAATTTACTTCTTAGTTCCAACAATTTTTTGAGGAATCTTTAGGATTTACTTACAACATAAGATTATATCATCTATGAACGAAGATAATTTTACTTCTTACACATTTTCAATGCTTGTTATCTTTGTTTTCTTGCCTAATTACTCTGGCTACAGCTTCCAATATTATGTTGAGTAGAAGTGGTGAGAGGAGGCATCTTTCCTTTTTCCTGATCTTAAAGGAAAAGCTTTCAGATTTTACTTTTAAGTAGAATATTTGGTGTAAGATTTATACATATATATATAGCTTTTTTTTTTTTTTTTTTGGTACCAGGGATCGAACTCACAACTGCCTGCTTCCAAGGTAGGCGCTTATGCCGCTGAGCTAAATCCCCAGCCCATATATATAGCTTTTATTGTATTAAGATAACTTCCTTTTATTATTATTTCACTGAATTTTTTAAATTATGAAACAGCCAGACATGGTGGAGAGCCTGAGATGAGAATTGCTGAGTTCAAGGCCAGCCTGGACTACACAGTGAGCCTCAGGAAAAAAATAGAAAATAAAACAATGTAGAGTTTTGGCTAGTGCATTTTCCACATTGAGATGATCATGTGATTTTTTTTCCCCTTCATTTTGTTCATGTGGCATATTACATTGATTATTTTGATGTGAGCAATTCTCATGTTCTAGGAATAAATCCACTTAGTCAGTTGTAGTATTTCTCTATTTTTGCTACAGCAGGCATTTTGGTCTGTGGGGGTCTTTAATTGCATTCACAATATTGTGTAACCATCACCATCGTCTTCCAAGCCCTTTCATCATATCAGAAATTGTTCTAGTTAACACTGAGAGATAACTCTCTAGTTCCTCAGTCTTTAGGCCCTCATAACTTCTCTATTTTCTGTCTCTGTGAATTTTGCTATTTTAAATATTTTGTATAAATAGAATCGTATAATCGTATTCTTCTGTGATTAGCATGTTTTCAGGTTCATCCATGTGTAGTGTGTTAGAATTTCCTCCTTTTCTATGGCTAATACTCATATGTATGCACTATGTTATTTTAAATCCATCTGCTGATGGACATTTGGGTCATTGCTGCCTTTTGAGAATTATTGGTGCACATATCTCTACTTTAGTCCCTGATTTCAGTTCTGTACCTAGGAATGGAATTGCTGGTAACATGTCCATTCCAAGGTAAATTGTATCATAATTCTGTGTTTAACTTTTTGAGGAACATGTTCAATTTTGAGTTAGTTTTTGTGTAAGCAGGAGGAAAACTCTAACTTTGAAACATCTTTCTACTCAGAGCGAAGATAAATGTTTGCCCCAGGAGAAACCCGTCATCATTGGCCCCTTGAGGTTACCTGCTCCTCCAGAAGAGCACGCTAGCAAACCAGGTGTGAGCAGTGCCGCAGAATCACTAGCTACCATCAGCAGGGTGAATATTGACATCTTACCTGCAAAGAGGAGGGGTTCAGTGAACAGTGACTTCGTTCAGAAGACTCACTCAGGACACTTAGATACCTCTAGGGAGCTGGAAGATAACTGCAGTGTTTCCCAAGTGGAAGCAGAGAGTCTGCAGGTTAACACTAACCACAGTGCCCAGCCTGAAAACTGGATCCCCACACAGCCCTCTGATGATAGTAGTGGGGAAGGGACCAAAGCAGCAAAGCCATCACAGCCTCTAAACAAAGCTCAAAAGCCAGAGCTCCAGGTGAGTGACATGCAGTAGGACTGGCTTCCGGAGAGAAGACAGGGAAGTGTGGTTAAAAAGGATCACATGCTTTGGTTATTGTGTTAGGAAAATCAGTTAGTTATTCAGTGTTCCAGTGTAAATGCAGAAGAATATTTTCATCACCCAGTGAAAAGAAAGTAATAGTCACTCTCCATTTTCTCTTGTTCTTAAGCACTGACAACTTTTATTCTAGTTTGTTCGCTTATTCTGATACAGCCAATGGCTATTCATGTCTGGCTGCTTTTACTTAGACTGTTTTCAAGGTTTATCTATGGTAGTACCATAGTATCTAAGGTAGCCAGTACCTTTTTTTTAATTGCCAAATAAATTCCCCTGTATATCTCTATGATACTTTATGTATCTATTTATCAGTTGATGAACATTTGGGTTGCTTCTACTTTTTGGCCAGTGTTAAGACTGTTGCTGTGAACACTTGTTAGACATTGTTATATGGATGTGTGCTTTCCTTTCTGTTGAATTTATACTTAGGAATGGAATTGCTCAGTCATATGATAACTGTATGTAAACTTTCTTCTCCTTTTCTCTTTCTTTTTTTTTTTTTGGTGGTGGTACTGGAGATTGTATCTGGGGTTGCTCTATACTAAACTATACCCCCACCCCTTTTTATTTTTTACTTTGAGACAGGGCCTTGTTAAGTTGCCTATGCTGGCTGTGAATTTGCAGTCTTCCTGACTTAGATCCTGAATAGCTGGGATTATAATGTACATCACTACATCTGGTTTATGTTTAACTTTTTTTAAACATTGCTTAGATTGCTAGGGATTGAACCCGGGGCGTTTGCACTGAGGTGCATCCTTAGCCCTTTTATATTTTTTATATTGAGACAGCTCTTGCTAAGTCATTAAATTGTCTAGGCTGGATTTGAACTTCTGATCCTCCTGTCTCAGCCTCCCCGAGTGCTGGAGTTAGCCAGAGGTGTACCACCATCTGTCTGTTTGTGGAATTGTGAAACTTTTCCCTGATGAGTGTGGTGATGCACACCTGTAATCCCAGCACTCAGGAGACTGAGGTAGGAGGATAGCTGTGAGTTTGAGGCCAGATTGGTCTACAAAGCAATAGCCTGTCTCAAAAAACAAAACAACACAAAAAAACTCTCCCTAAAACAAAACTTTTTCCCAAGAAACTGCATAATTTTAATTCTCAGTCGCATTATCAGAGGGTTCTATTTTTTTTGGTCTTTTTCCTTTTTATCAGTACCAGGGATTGAACTCACAACTGCCTGCTTGCAAGGCAGGTGCTTAGGCCGCTGAGCTAAATGCCCAGCCCCGGTTCCATTTTTTTTATACCCTTGCCAACACTTTCTTTTTCTTGTTTTAACCATACTGCCTCTTGTTGTCTTCACAATAGCTACAGATAACTTCAGACATAGTAAAAATCAAACAAAACAGAACAGAATCCAATAAAAACAAAACAATGGCTGCAATAAAGGACTTCAAAACAAGCCTATAGTAAATCCAAAATGGCTACCATAATATGTCTTGCTGTCTTAGAAATAGCTGCTCATGCCATGCCATCAGATACAACAAAATCAAACAAAACAAAACAGAATAAAACTCAGCCCCATCAAACAGTGAAAATGATACAAGACTTCAGAAAAAGATCATAGGGAATTAACAATGCCTACCACCTTCAGAAGGAAATTCCCATGTATGCTACATTGTGTATTGTTATCCTCTGAATAGATGATGAGACTACCGGCTTTAGACCTGCAAAGTCAGTGAAACACTAAACACTACAGGTATTAAATTGTATTTTACCTGAATAGCTATCATCCCAGCCTGTGTTTCTCTGGATCAGCCAGTTGCTTATGGAAGGTGGGGTGGGGGTTGGCTCTTGTTGTTTCGTAGCCTACATGCCAGAGGGGCTGGCATCTGGCCGTCCCCCCAGCAGCTTACACATAGCGCCAACTCACAGGAAGGGCTGGAGGGCTTGCTGCTTGGTGATTTTGTTCTCTTCCTCTGCAGTCTGCAAATCCTGTTGACTCATGGGAAAAGGCTGGGGCCTAGTTTCCCGCTCCCCTTCATGGGCCGCACATGGCGCTGATTCGCAGGGAGGGCTTGCTTTGCTTCCCTTGTCAACATTCTTACTGTTCATGTTGAGCGTGAGAGTAGCCATGCCTGTCTTGTCTCTGTTCAGTCTGTCTTACACTAAGCTTTTATAGTAAACTTGTTTGGTAGAATTTAACGTGCAGCATTTCCTCTATTACTTTTCATTGTTGTTGTTATTATTATTATTGTTTTGTTTTGAGACAGGGTCTTTCTTTGTAGTTCAGGCTGGCCCAGAATTCACTATGTAGGCAGGACTGGCCTCGAACTCAAAGTGCTTCTCCTGCCTGAGCCCCTGAGTACTGAGATTATATGAGTGCATCATCACACTTGGCTGTCAGTTTGTTATTATTTTCTTCTTCATAAAAATGGAATAATTTGTTTCAGAATTCAATTGGATTTCATGGAGATGCTCCTTAAGTCATTTGTTCATGTCATTCTCATACACATGTAAGCTTTATTTTGAGTATTCTAAACTATCACCAATAGAAAAACATTTATTTCTCTCTTAAAAGTTGGATCATTTGTTATTTATTATGCTGATCTTGTTCAGCTAGAATAGCAATGTTGTAAATTAATCTATTGTACTCTATTTTATGTTGGATGTTGGGTTTCCTCTTTAAAGAGTAAGTTATTTTTACCTATAATTTTGTATTTTCCAGAGATCTAAAAATGTTGTATTAATGATAACACCTGATAGATTTTGATAGTAGGATTCTGATAAACATGCATTGATAGGGCTGGGGACATAGCTTAGCAGCACAGTGCCTGCCAGGCAAGTGCACAGTCCTGAGTTCAGTTCTGTGTACCCACACATATGCACAAAATGCATTGACTGTGTCTAGACATTGTGATTCGTGCCTGTAATCCCTGTACTGTGGGAGGCTGAGGCAAGAGGATCATAAATTCAAGCCCAGTTTGGGCAACTTAGGGACTTGCCATGACCCTGTCTCAAAATAAAAATTTTAAAAAGGGAATATAAACCAGGTGTGGTGGCGCACTTCTGTAATCCCAGCACTTGGGAGCTGAGGCAGGAGAATTGTTTGCAAGTTCGAGAGCAGCTTAAGCTACAAAGTGAGCTCAAGGCCAGCCTGAACTGCATAGCAAGACCTTGTCTCAAAAAGACAAAAAAAAAGGGACTATAACTCAGTGTAAATGCCCTGGGTTCAATTTTCACTACCATTAAACAAACAAATGAAGTATCAATTGAATGATATTCATTTACCAGTGTCCATCATCTTGGAAACTTGAATACTCTTGATAGGTTAAAAAAATGCAATAAATAGAGTCTTATGTTAATGTTTGGTATACATTGGTTTCTAAAACTAGCTATCCTGTTCACCTTTTGTAACTTAAAGTTAATTTTATTATTAGTGCTGCCACCAGCAGGTCACCGTTTTTGAGCATGGAATAAGTACGATTGTCCTGACTGCTCCTGGTGTCCCATTTCAGCTAAACTCTAACAGCACCACAGCCAGCACTCTGTATCTGCATCTCCTACATCTGTGGACTCAACCAGCCACAGATGAAAGATACTGGGAGAAGGAAAACCTTTATGTGTACTGAATGTGTACAGACGCCTTCTCTAGTCATCACCCGCTAACCAGTATAGTGTCACAGTTATTTGCATGGTGCTTACATTGTGTTGGGCAGTACAAGCAATCTAGAATGATTTAAAGGATATAAAGAATGTGCAGTTAAATGCCATTTTATATAAGAGACTTGAACATCTATGTATTTTGGTACCTGGGCAAAAGGGAGTTCTGGAATCTGTCCCCTATGGATACCAAGGCTCAACTGTACAATGTATGCCAGGCACTGGTCCCGTTTTCAGATGAGGAAGTGGGCTCAGGAAGGCAGGCTTTTGACATACATCAGACCACAGTGCTGTTTTAATTGTGCATTTTACAGATAGCTGGTGTTTACTTGGGGAGTGTATTAAATTTGATGTCATGTAAAACATTTATTCATGTTGAAAATAGAAAACCTATTAAAAGTAATGAGGTTTTGTTTTGTTTTTGGTACCTGAATCAAACTCACAATCTCACACTTGCCAGGCAGGTGCTTGTGCCACTGAGCTAAATCCCTGGCCCAAAGTAATAAGTTTTTAAAAGTAAGATCAAGCAGAAGTGGTTTCTTTTATGGTTGTTTTGTTCTTGAATTTTTTGGTGCTGTGCAGTGAACCTAGGGCCTCACGCTTGTTAGGTAAGTGCTCTGCCACTAAATTAAATACCCAGCCCTTGGAAGTAGCTTTAGGTTTAATTGCAATTTGAGTAATTTGATTAAAAGAGTTATTTTTATTTGGGGTAAGAGAAAAAAAATCTAAAATAGTTTGTCAGCACTGCAAATGAATATTCATTTTGAGAAAGAGAACTATTCCCTTCCATTTTTGTTTTGCAATTTTATTTTTTTCATTTTGCAATTTTAAAAGTAGGTATTTGACATTTGAAGTTCAAAAGACTTTCATTCTGTGGTCGTCTTTTGTGTATATTTGTTTCATTTTCCTATTTTTAAGGATCAAGTTGCTGATGAAGCTTTTATAGAAAAACAGAGCAGAATCCAGCCAGGTTTACAGCCACACAGCTGTGGGACTGAACCTTCCCTGTCTCGACAGCGGCGACAGAAGAAGAGAGAACAGGCTGAGCGTGGCGTGGGAAGGAGCCAGGTCAGCAGGAAGGCATGTTTGGAATCAGACTGGGGAAGCTCGTTTCTCATGTAGGATGATTAATACCCGGCAAAACGGCACCTAAACAGCATAGCAAGAACATGCAGAAAAGGGTGTCAAGGGCAAGAGGCCTGATACTTGATTTTTAAGTATCAGCAAATTAGAAATACAGAAGGAATTTATCTTCCCCAGCAAAGACAGACAGATCATTTTGAGAGGTAAAGGAACCAGCTAATGAGGGTAAGTGTTTGATTGCTTAATGTTACATTGCTAAGCAGTTCTTGCTACTTACTATAAATAAATAGTCTGGGGCTGGGGATTTAGCTCAGTGGCATAAGTTCCAGGCTGGCAAGTGCAAGGTTGTGAGTTCGATCCCTAGTATCAAAAATAAGTAAGTAAATAAATAAATACTCTGCCCAATTCATTTTTTTTTTTTTTGGTACTAGGAATCAAACTCATAACGCACAGTTCATCTTGATACCATCTTTCTTAAAGTAAGATACCCTCTCTATAAGCTTCTTACTTGATTATCCACTTTTGTCAGTCTGTTACACACACACACACACACACACACCACACGCACAATGTTTTGAAGCTTTAGGGACAAATGACAAATTGCTGACGTGTACATTCAGGTTATGACAGTAGGGACCTCTATAGATGGCTGCATATAAAACTTACCATATCTTCCCCTAAAATTAAGTTCCCAGGGGCATCTCCTCGGCTTTTGCCTTCCCATCCCATGGTTGGAGAAGTGGATACCATACCAACACAACAGAATGCTGAGTGCCCAAGTAGCACGGCCACTGTGTCTGTGAGCAGTATGAGGGGCAGTGGGATAGCATCATCAAAGGTTTGTGGGAGTGCCTGTTGGGATTTTATAAATCTTACAAGGCTTTTGTGGTTGTATAATCCTGTGTGTGTTGTGGGTTGTATAATCCTGTGTGTGTTAGCACCTAATAGCCCTGCTTTCTGCCAGACATTGGAAGAGCCAGCTTGATGATTCTCAGCAGAACCTTAGATTGACATGGAGAGATTCTATGTTTGCACAGATGTCCAGTTAACTAAAGAAACTAAGTAGATTCTGAAAATAAGAAATGAAAAAGTCCCCCTTTGCCCTTCCAAAAATGAGTATCTCCCCAAAACAGGGGCTGTAATCCTTCATCAGTAGCTGTCACCTGGGTATGGGTTGGCTTCTAGTGGCACTCCTTTAGAGGCAAGTGCAAGGCCTCTTTCTTAGTGTTAGGTGGTGCATCATCCACTGTAGGCATTACAGAAATAGTGAGTAGGAACAGAAATAACTCTGTGACTTTCGTTAAAAGGATCGACCATTATCAGCCAGAGAGAGAAGGCGACTGAAGCAGTCACGGGAAGAGGTGTTCCCCTCATGTGAAGGTGACCTTTTTATTCATTTAATTGACAGTCTAGTTTCGCTCATGAGCATCAGTGCTAGTTCTGATTATGGAGTGTTGACTTCAAGAGGTGGTAATCCATTTGGGGAATAGATTTGGAAGAATTTTTAAATTTCTTAGACTGCCAGGTGTGGTGGCATGCACCTCTAATACCAGCACTCAGAAGGCTGAAGCAGGAGGATTGCCACAAGTTTGAGGCCAGCCTCAACTACATAGTGAGATCCTGTCTCAATCAATCAATTAATCAGATTTCTTAGGCGAGTCTTTTTTCTTTTTCTTCTTTTTTTAAAAATCAGTGTAGGCTGTTGAATCTGAAATATATCATCAGAGAAAGGAAGTGTGAAAAAAGAGTGCAAGAGGTCTTTGAGGAGAGTGACTCCCGGGAGAATTCAGACTGAAAACCAGATGAATGTTTAACTCGGTTTTGTGTCAGTCAGAAGTGTTCTCTCCTCAGGACCACCCAGGAAGCTGAGGGATGTGTTGCTCTGGCTGAGGGCCATGGTCATTTTTACTACCGTTATCTAAACATAGTTTTACTGTAGCTCTAATGCTATTTCCCTAAACATCTAAAGAGGTTATGGTGAAGATTGTAAGGGCATTATCTCTTATTTACAGTAACTTCCAAGGTTTCTGCTGGGGAAACTGAGGTTCTAAGGGACCGGCTAACTTACTCAAGGTCACAGAAGGGCAGACCCAGGGCTAAGATTTGAACTAAGGTGCCAGACACCGCAGTGATAATGAAGAGGTTTTTGAGTAACTTTTGGCTGGCCTTTGCCTGAGGTGTCTTCTGTACCCTGTGCAAAGCCCTCTTCAACTGAGACCAGCCTGCCACAGATAACTACTGGGTGTGTTCTCGTTTCAGGCCCTTCAGTGAGGAGAAGTCTGAGTGCAGTAGGGCCGGGGAAACTGCAGGAGGAAGGCCAGGCCTTCCCTGCCCGACGGTTCTCTTCTGACTACGGCAGTACACAGGTGCATTACCCAAAAGGAGAGGGTGGATGTGTCTGTGTCCTTCAGCCTAATACTGTAACCCTCGTGCCAGTCAGCTCCATTTATTTCAGAGACAGGGCCTTGCTAAGCGCTCTTGGTGAGGAAAGGAGCTGGTAAATAATAATTAAAAGGATGATGTGTGACCCACTGAAGGCATACATTTTTCAGGTATTCTTGTAAATAGTTGACAGTCTAGTTAAGAATCTTTCTCTGGTAATCTTTAAAACAAGACTTCCTAAGACTTTTCTTTTTTTTTTTTTTTTTGTTACCTGGGATGGAACTCAGAACCTTGCACTTACAAAGCAGGTACTTATGCCACTGAGCTAAATCCCCAGCCCTAAGACTTTTCACTACGCAACACATCATTTATTCTGCTGTGTTACTAGTATATACAGTGATGTGACTAGATTTTAATCTTTTGCTAATTATCATCTCTCAGTTTCCTGTTTGTGTCAGTTTACCTTCTTGTTTATGGATAATATAGCCCCACCATCTGGTGGTTACCTGGTAATTGCGGTGTTTCTAACCCATGTTCATCTCTCTCTGTATAATAAATGCCCTGGGGATGAATTTTTCTGCCCTTTAAAAGCAATGAAAGCCTGGCATGGTGGTGCATGGACATAATCCTGGCACTGGGGAAGCTGAGGCAGGAGGATTGTTGCATGTTCAAGACCAGCCTTGGCTACAAAGTGACCTCAAGGCCAGCCTGAACTGCATGGCGAGATCCCATCTCAAAAAGATAAATAAATAAATAAATGTAAATAAAAGCAATGAAGATCTTTCTTTGACCATATCATTGATGTATTTTACTAATTTAGGCTGCCATCTCTGTCTCTCAAAAGTTTCAAGGTTTGGGTTAATTATATCAACCCTTTAAAGCACCGTAAGAGTTTTATATATGAACAGGGTAAATTGTTTAGGTGAAATTCTGTCTGGTTTAAAATGCCAATATTCTTTATGGATCAAGCCCTTTTATGAACTGAATCACTTAGAACTAATCACCCTCTTTCTTCTGGAAAGGAAGTTTCTTCCCCATTGAAATTCCCTAGGGCTTTGTAAAACTACATTAGTATTTCTTAGCCTTCACTTGTGAGCTTCATGAATGAACTGGGATGTCACTGGATAAAATAACTTTAATTTTTAGATCTGCTCATTTCTCCTGTTAAATTGCATGTAGGTATAGATTGTTTAGTGATTGCGTCTAAGACTGGCAAACCTGTATTAACTTCTGGTTGTGTTGTCATGTGGAATTTTGTCTACATATTAATAGGAAAGAAAACGGATTAAATGTCTGTCTGAGGATGAGTTAAGTTCTTCTACAAGTTCAACTGACAAATCAGATGGGGATTCCAGGGATGGGTAAGTTTTTATTTTTCTGGTTCCCTTCAGAAATTATTTCTGTGTGAGTGATTCTAAATATACATTTATAGCAGTATTCTGACCTGTAGTACTCACTGACAATATATATGTTGTATTGTATATGTTACAGCTAAGAATCTCTCTTCTGTGTGCACATCTAGTTTTACAGCTTTCATTAGATTTGGAAAAGTTTGACCATACCATAGTAAACACATCCACCATGGGAAATTGATTGGCCATTATTTCTTCAGTTTTCACTGGACTTTCTCTTGCCTTTTGCGTATTCTAGTTAAATGTGTATTAGGCTGCTTAAAGTTATCCAAACCTCACCGATGCTTTGTTCATTCCTTTTCTTTTTGGGGGTACCTAGAGTTGAACTCAGGACCTTCGCATTGAGCTACATCCCAGCCCTTTTTTGATTTTATTTTATTTTTTGAGACAGAATCTCACTGAGTCCCTAAGTTGTCTAATTTGTCCCAGAATGCTGGTTTCCGTTTATTCTTTTTGCTTTGTTGCTTTGTTTCATTTTTCATAGATTCTGCTGGTGTATCTTTGAGTTCACTGATTTTTTTCTTCTATAGTTTCTATTCTGTTTATCCTATTTCATGAGTTAATATAACTGTGTTTTTCACTTTTAGAAAGAACTTGGGTCTTCTTTACATCTTTTGTGCCTTTCCTTAACCAGTTCATGTTTTTATCTGTAATAACTATATGAAACATATTTATGATAACCATTTTAATGCCCTCATCTGCTAATTTTATCACTTGTTTTACCTTTGGATCTATTTCTGTTAACTAAGTTTTTTTCTTTACAAATCAGTGGTGTTTTCCTGCTTCTTTGAGTCTCTGGTAACTTCTTTTCTTTTCTTTTTTGAAACAGGGTTTCACCGTGTAGTTCTGGCTGGCTTTGAACTCACTGTATAGCCCTGGCTGGCCTTGAACTAACAGTGATCCTCCTGCCTCAGTCTCCCAAGTGCAGGGACTATAAGCACGTACCACCATGCCTGGGCATTTCTGGTAATTTTTGACTGGATGCCATATCCTGTGAATTTTATTTCATTGGAGGCTGGTATTTCTGTGTTTCTTTAAATAGTTTTGACCTTTGTATTTGGATGTAGTTAAGTTACTTGGAATGGTTGGACAGAACTTGTACCAAGAATCTGGGTCAGCTTTTCTCTAGGATCTCTCTTTTGCAAGATTTCTCTCTCACTTTCTATTGGCAGTAGTTGTCCTGAACTATGTCTTTGGTTTTATAGGCTAGATATACTGTGGGTTTATTCTTGGACTTTGAGTTACGTATGACCTACCCTTAGGCTAAAAAGTCTTGACTCTGTTCCTGAATCTGCTTCCAGATTTTTTCATTCTCCATTGTCTTCACATTAGTTGATTTTGTATTTTGCATAGTGTCTGTAGTTGTTATTTTTGTGTTATTCTTTAGGAGCTTACATGGACATTTGGAAGCAGCATTCCCTAAAGGTCATTTTGTGGGGGCTGGGGATTTAGCTCAGTGGCATAAGCACCTTCCTTGCAAGCAGGCAGTCATGAGTTTGATCCCCGGTACCGATAAAAAGTTTTTAAAAAAAGGTCATTTTGTGTCTCTGTGTAAGCATGCTTGTAATCAAACCCAGGGCTTGTCCATGCAAACATTCTCCAGTGAGCTGTATCCCCAAACCTGCATCTAACTTGAAATAAAAAATTTTTATGAAGCCAACTAAATAACAGGAAGAATTGTTTTTCAGGAAAAGTCATACAAATGAAATGAGTGACTTGATACAATTGATGACTCAAACCCTTAAACTGGACCCAAAAGAGAGCAGTGAAGATCTCCCGGTACCAGCTCTAGGCTCAGAATTCAGACTTAATCGAAAGTATCGGGACACACTGGTTCTTCATGGGAAAGTTGCTGAAGAGTCAGGGCAACTCCGTTTTAAAGAGCTGCCCTCAGGTGATCCATTTAGTTTTTTACAGCAAACTAGAACATGTGTTTATTAGGAGCTAATACCTGTAAATTGTTTTAATTTTTAAATTTTATTTGGATATCTCTATGAAAGATTTATCTTACTTTATGCAACAGACATAGTCTGAAAAATTTCATGAAAATTAATTTTTAAAGATAAATGTAAATAACCCAGTAATTTTTATGAAAATTATGTAATGTGATTGGGATTTTTTTTCAGTGTATTTTCTTCAAGTTAGACTTTTTTTAGGAGATAGTTTAAGTGTAGGAGATGGAAGTGAAATATGAAGCTTTACATAAATTTTTATTTTGATTTTTTAAAATTTTATTTTAAAGATAGTAAACTACAACAAAATAAGATAGAACAAAGCCAGTCAAGACAGTGCAGTGAAATTGGTACAGAACTTCAGAGCAGGATACTGGGGTAACAACAATAGCTACCATAGTATATCTTGTTATCTTCTCAATAGTTGTCCATTCCATCAGGTATAGCAAAATCAGACGAAAAACAGAACTCTATAAAACCAATCAAAGCAGAATATTGAATAGAGCAAAACAATTAATCAGAACAAAGCAAAACAGTGAGAACAATATTGACCTTCAAAGACAAGATAGAAAGAAATCCCCCATATTTGCTATATTGCATACTGTCATCGTCCCAAGAGATGCTCAGATCTCTGGCCCTAGGTCAGCATAATTAACCAAACAATACAAGCATTTAGTTGCTTTATGTGCCTTAATTGCTATCAATTCCGGCTGACCTCAGGACATTTGATTCTCAACCCGTTCATGGGAGACACTGAGTTATTCTCTCTCTAGCTTGCCTTCGGCTCAGGCCGCTTGGCTTACCGCGAAGGCTGGCTCGTGCTTTCTTGGTGGATCCCCCAAGTTCCAGCATGGCTGATTCTTAGGAGACGCTGACTTACTCTCTCCCTGGCTTGCCTGTGGCTTGCATCACATACTAGGAAGGCTGCTCATTGCTTTCTTGGTGGGTCCCCAAGTTCCAGCATGGCAAATTCTCAGGAGACACTGACTTTGACATAAATTTTTAGACAGTAAAATATTAGACCACAGATATAGCTCAATGGTAGAGTATTTACTAAGTGCATGCGCGCGCACACACACACAATCGTTAAACCAAACCTATCAAGATTATTTTTTAAAACGATGTTTTAAAAAAATATTGTTTTTCTTCATTGTTACTAAAAATGTTTGTTTTCCCTTTTTTGTTGTTGCTTTTTAGCTATCATGCCAGGTTCTGAAAAGATCAGGAGAATACTTGAAGTCTTGAGAGCTGATGTCATCCAGGGCCTAGGAGTTCAGCTTTTGGAGCAGGTGTATGATCTCTTAGATGAGGAGGATGAAATGGAGAGAGAGGTGAGTGTTTTACTGGTTGTGTTCTGCTGCTTATACTATACAATTTTTTAGCATCTTTTTGAAATATAATTCACATACCATATAATACAGCCATTTAATGTGTATATTTCAGAGGTTCTTAGTATGTGGATAGACTTGTACAGTCATCATCACAATGTTAGGACATTTTCATTAACCTTGTAAAGAAACTCTGTACTAACTAGCATTCATTTCCTATTGTCTCCTAAATTGTCCATCCCTAAACAATGACAAGTATTTTCTGCTCCCTATAGATCTGTCTCTTTTGGACAGTTCATTTAATTAGGGTCTTTAAGGAAGATGTGGTGTTTGTTTTGCTTCTTTGGCTCAGCTAAATCCCCAGCCCCATATTCTGTGTATTTTGTTCACTCATCAACTCATGGCCTTTGAGGGGCTTCCTCTTTTTGGCATGATTAATGCTGCTGTGAGTCCTCATGGAAGTTTGTATGGGGTTTCAGTTTTGTTGGATATATATATCCAGAAATGGAAGTGCTGGATCACTTTGTAACTTTACATTGAAACATTGGATGAAATTTCAAACTGCTTTCTGTTATAACTCGGCCCCAGTATAAAATCCAAGGAAGCAAGAGACCGAAAATTTAGGTAGTAAAGGCTTTATTTCCAGGCCTGGCGACGAGTCTCCGGGAGCCAATTTGGAGACTGTGTCCCAGAGACTGAAGGGAGGACTTTAAAAAGAGGCTGGAGGAAAAGGGGGGGGGGGGAGAAACAAAGAAACCTGCAGAGCCATCAAACTTGTTGACCTGAGTCTGGAAACTGTATTGCTGTCCACTTAGCTCTGACAATCTCAGGAGTTCCTGGTGTTTCTCAATTTACTCCCATCCTACAGACTGACATTATCTTGGAGTGGCACATCTGCAGCAATATTTGGAGAAGAAAGCGGAGAGTTAATTATCCCAGGACATCTCATTTTCGCTAGTGGGTGCAAAGGGGTCAAGAGTTACAAGAAGCTGAAACTTAAGTTTTACAAAGATCTGATATCTAACTCATTTGATGCATACAGAACAAAAGGAAAGCACCGATTGGGGTTTGGGCCATAGTATTTCCCGGTAATTTCTTTGAAGCTAAACAGTTCTTAAAATTGGGGCAGGCTCATTTTATGACAGATCATCACCGGATCGGGAAGAGGTCACCAGAAACCCAAATTCTTTATGGTCTATAAATAGATAGGTGAGGGGAGAGGGAGGCAATAAGGCGCCATACAGAACAGAAAACGGCGGTTATATGTATCTATCTTTCTGGGAGGGGAATCAAGGTTAGGTAAAGGGTTAAACTCATATGCAAATCTCTCTGCACACAAGCAAGTTACTTCAAACAAGTGTAAATTAGTGGGTCATCCTAGTTTTCTTTAGCTCTTTAGGGGAGAATAGAGGTGCCTAACAGTGATTAACAACCCTTGTTAGCTTGTTTTAGCACAACTTCTGTAGTTTGTAGAGGGCAACAATGGTTAACATATCAATTAGGTGAGATTCTTGCAATTCTTTACAGAGGAGAGTATTGCTCAACATATCAATTAGGTCACTTAACTTATCAGTTAGGGAAAAAGGATAAAAAAAACACATTTAGTAAGCCACATTGTAGGTTTGCTATAATACACATATAACGAAGCTGTTTTCTTAGAGTACAACACTTTCCAAAAAAACTGTACCATTTTACATTACTACCAGCAGTACCCAAAGTTCCACATTCTTGTTTCAAGTGCTTTATTTCTGTTTCTGTGATGGTGGCTTTTGTTTTTAATTCTATTTGTGTGTTATGTTACATTAATTGATTTTTGGTGGTCAGCCTTACATTGCTGAGGTGATTCCCATTTGGTCATGATGTATACTCCTGATGTTTTGCCAGACTCAAGCTTTCAATGTAGTCTCAATATATTTTATATCATTGATGAATATTGGGTAAGATACTCAATTTCAAGTTATTTGTACAGATGGTTATGTTTATTTATTTTCTTTTTATTTTAAAGATAGTAAACAAAACAGAACAAAGCCAGTCGAAACAAAAGCAGCAAAATTGGTACAGAACTTCAAAGCAGGATACTAGGAAAACAACAATACCTACCATAATATAGCTTATCTTCACAATAGTTGTCCATTGCATCAGGTATAGCAAAATCAAACCAAAAACAAAATAATAAAACCAATCAAAACAATATTGAATCAAGCAAAACATTTACAACAAAGCAAAACAGTGAGAACAATATTGACCTTCAAATCAAGATGGAAGGAAATCCCCATATTTGTTAAATTGCATACTATAATCCTCTCAAGAGCCTGCAAAATCAGCCAAACAATACAAGCATTTAGTTGCTTTATGTACCTTAGTTGCTATGCATTCAGCCTGTCCTTTGAACCAGTAGGTTGCTTGGCAGTGGGGGGCGGTATGTATATGATTCTCAGCCCACATGCCTATAGGCTCACATGAGGCACTATCTGACTTTTCTCTTCTTGGAACCCACGTGTGTGTGTGTGACTCACCAGAAAGCCTGGCTAGTTGGCTTCTTGTTAGATCCTGCCAGTCCCAGCATGGCGGATTCTCAGGAGGCACTGATAATTGTCTTCCTGGAAGCCACATTTTATTTTAGAGAGAATAAAACCAAGCAAAATAAAACAGAATAAAGTCAATCAAAACAAGACAGTGTAGGGGCTGGGGATTTAGCTCAGCGGCATAAACTCCTGCCTTGCAAGAAGGCAGTCGTGAGTTTGATCCCCGGTACCAATAAAAAGGAAAAAGACAAAACAAAACAAAAACAAAAAACAAAAAACCAAGACAGTGTAAGTAACATAGGATTTCAAAACAAGATAATAGAAAATCAACAATGGTTACCATAATGCCTCTTGTTTTATTCAAAATAGCTGCAGATACCTTCAGACATAGTAAAATCAGACATAGTAAAATCAAACAAAACGAACAGAAAAGAACCAATAAAAACAAAATAATGAATGCAGTACAGGACTTCAAAACAAGGTAATAGTAAATCCAAAATAGCTGCCATACCTTTGAAATAGCTGCCCATTCCATCAGATACAACAAAATCAAACAAGATAAATAGAATAAAATGCAACCAAACAAAACAATGAGAATGCTACAGGATTTTGAAACAAGGTAATAAGGAATTAACAGTGGCCACCACCTTCAGAAGGAGATCCCCCATAGATGCTACACTGCATATTGTTATCCTCCGAATAGCTGATCAGACTACCAGTTTTAGACCTGCAAAGTCAGGGAAACACTAGACACTACAAGCATTAGATTGTATTTTACCTCATAAGCTATCATCACAGCCTGTGTTTCTCTGGATCAGCTGATCGCTTACTGGAGGTGGAGGACTATGGGCTCTTCTTGTCTCCCTGCCTACACTTCTAAAGGGGCTGGCATCTGGCTCTCCCCCAGTCAGTGTGTGTGTGGCACTGACTCACAGGAGGTCTTAGCTTCTCATTGACTTCTTGTTCTCTTCCCCCACAGTCCACGAATAGTGTGAACTCACAGGACAGGGCTTGTGTCTGGCTCCCCCGCATTCAGCCTGTGCATTGGGTGGACTCACAGGAGGTCTTAGCTTCTTGTTAACTTTTTGTTCTCCCCTGCAGTCCAAGAATGGCCTTATTTATCATTTTTGTTCTCCTTTTTATTCTTGTGTATATAACTTAACATCTGGAGTCTTTTCCTTAGCTTAATGCAGTTGTGTTATTGACAAATAGATTTCTTTTGTTATCGACTCAACAATATATACATTTAAAAATTATAGTAAATTATACATATTTAAAATTTACCACATTAGCCATTTTTAAGTATATAGTTTACTTGCATTAAATATGTTCACATTGTTGTGCAGCTGTTACCCATCTTCTGAACTTTTTCATCTTGCAAAAGTGAAACTCTGCATCTGTTAAACAATATGAGATATGTTAAAAAATGGTAAATGTTTACTTTTTAAGTAAATTATTACAATAAAATATAAATTGCTGTTAATTCCTTTAAAATACTCCCATTCACATTGAGCATACTTATCCCTTTTTCTTGTCACTTTCTTTTTTTTTAAGAGTAAACAATTTTTTTAAATTTTTATTTTAAAGGGGGTAAAATTAAACACAACAAAACAGAACAAAATAGGACATAAGAAAGCAATGTAAGAGACATAAATTTCAAAGCTAGATGACCTGAGATCTTCACTGTCTATCATATTGTCTCTTGTTTTCTTCCAAATAGTTATCCATTGTCTTTTCATACAGAGAATTCATACAAAACAACATAGTATAAAACTGATCCGAACAGAATGAGGAAGGCCATTTTAGGTCTTCAAAACCAGGCAATAGGGAAGTCACTAATGGCTGTCATAGAGTCTCTCGTTCTCTTCAAAATAGCTAACTATACTTTCATGTATATTGAAGTTCAACAAAACAAAACAGGCAGGGAGGAGGGGTTGCTTGATTTCCCAGTGTTCCAGGTCCCAGGATGGCTCGAGTCCCAGTAAATGCTGGTGGCTCCCAACCTGGGCCGCTGCAGCCTGCCACACTCACAGCTGCTCATGGTGTGTGTGGGGGGTGCGTTTGCTTCAAGCTGTTTCTTTCCAGTGAATTGACCATTTCACTGCCCAAGTTCTGAAATGGCCAACAGACCACAGAAAGACATCTCTTTAGGCTCCTGCTTGAAACCAACAGCATCAGGAAGCTGACAGTCTTGATTCAGGGCCAGAAGAGTAAACAAATTTAATTTGACTGTTAAACTTGTTCAAAAGCAAATTATTGGTATACAGTATACCAGAGGCCATAAGAGGTTTATGGCCTTTGAAATAAAAATTCCATGCAGCAATTTAACCAATGAAATAATGCAGAAGATGATCTGTGTGTAAAGATAATACTAAAAATTTGAAGCAAGAGTTTTCTGTACAGTAAAAGATAACTGGGGGCTGGGGATTTAGCTCAGTGGCATAAGCACCTGCCTTGCAAGCAGGCAGTCGTGAGTTCGATCCCGGGTACCGATAAAAAGGAAAAAGACAAAAAAAAAAAAAGTATAAACAATAAAAGATAACTGTGAACACTTAGTAACAGGGAAATGCTTATACATATTGAATATCCTTTATTTGAATATCCAGAGTGCTCTAAAAGCCAAATTGGCTTAGAACTTGTTGGTACTCAAAGAAATTTCACAGTGCTGTGTGTGGTGGCACACACCTATAATTCCAGCACTCGAGAGGCTGAGGCAAGAGGACTGCTGTGAGTTCATGGCCATCCTGGACTGTATATTGAGTTTAAGGCAGCCTGAACTATACAATAGACTCTACCTTGAAAAAACTTTTCTTTCAGAGTATTTCAGATTTTTAAATTAGGAATATTCAACCAATGAATTCTTTGCAAGTATCCCAAATATGAAAAACATTGAAATTTGAAACTGGTCCCGTGTATTTTGCAAAAAAAATTTTCTCAACCTACGATATCAAAATGGAGAAAGTGAGACTCAATCTGCTAGTGTATGGTGATGTCTTGCCACCTTCTGAAGCAGTTGTAGAATCCTTTCACGAGTGTCTTTAGTTGCACTGTTGTAGCTGCTTTGACATCCTGCATCAGTTCAGAACTTTAATCTTTCACGGTCATTTGGACTTTGGGAAAGTGCCAGAAGTTGCATGGTGCCAGATGCAGTGAATGTTTGATGAGGACACACTGTAATATTTTTTTTTTCTTTTTTCTTTTTATTGGTACCGGGGATCGAACTCACGACTGCCTGCTTGCAAGGCAGGTACTTATGCCGCTGAGCTAAATCCCCAGCCCCACACTGTAATATTCTTATGAATCTGTCTTTCTACTGGATGACTCTCAGCAGTAGCATTCACTGTACTTTTTGTTTGTTTTGAGATAGGATCTCTATGTGTTTCAGGCTGGCCTTGATATCTCTATGCAGCCAAAGCAGGTCTCAAACTCAGAGCATTCCTCTTGCCTCAGCCTTCTGAGTGCTGGGAATACAAGCATACACTGCTACACCCAGCTTCACTATAATTTTAATGAATATTATTAAGAATAGGGCAGGAAAGAGGATTTGCAGAGTTGCTTCAGAAAGTGTTAAGAATGATGGGATAAGTGTGTTTGAAACAAGGGGAAGTATTGTGAAGATGTCAGTAATGATGTGCCTTTTACTGTAACAAATTTTGCTATTTAGACTTCACGGTATTTTTAGACAGTGCTTTCTAAAGCATCATTCCCTGCTTCTGTCAGTCCCTGGCATCTACTTTTCTACTTTCATCTCTCCAGTTGACTGAGCAGTTATATAAAGCCTAAGTGTACCATCTAGAAACAGTCATTTGTCCACAAAGAAAACTCTAGGCTCAGATGGCTATGCTGGTGAATGCTTCCGACCATTTAAGAAAGATATAATGCCAATACTATGCAAATTCTTCCAGAAAAGTTTAGGAGGAGATACTTCCCAGCTCATTACACAAGCCCAGCTCAACCCTGATCCTAAAATCAAACAAGTATACTACATGAAAAGATATTAGATCAGTATCACTCATAAATCACTTCATGGTTTTAATGATGTTTTTCTGTTTTTTATTTCAGCCCTAATATTTATTATTTATTTACTTCTGATATGGGTTTAGTTCTTTTTTGAGTTCCTTAAATTGTAAAATTAGGTTTTCATCTGAAATCTTCTCTCCACAGTGATGGAACATTCTTCCTTTTTTTTCTTTTGGTATAGGGGATGGAACTCATGACCTTGCACTTGCCAGGCAGGCACTTATGCCGCTGAGCAAAACCCCTGGCCCCTGGGACATTCTTTAATAAATATTAATAGCCATAAAGTTCCACCTTACCACTGTTTTAACCAAATCCTGTGTTTGATGTATTGTGTTTTATTTTCACTTGTCTGTAGTTTTTTTTCATGACTTCCTCTTTGACCCACTGATTGTTTTGGAGTATGATGCTTAGTTTCCACCATTTGTCAGTTTTTTAGTTTTCTTTGTTACTGGCTCTTAACTACATCCCTTGTGGTTAAAGAAGATGCTATCTTTGGGCTGGGGATTTAGCTCAGCAGCATGAGCATCTGCCTTGCAAGCAGGCAGTCATGAGTTTGATCCCTGGTACCAGAAAAAAGAAAAAAATAAAAATTAAAAAAAAAACTTAAAAAAAAGATGCTATCTTTCAAAAGCTACTGAGACTTAATCACATCCTAGTTTATGCTCTGTCATGGAGAAAGTCTGAATAAGCTTGAGAAAGCTCAGTAAAAGGGTCAAAAACTGTCCTTTTCTGGATCTACCCAATCTGTTGCTGGGTAGAGGTTGGCATGTATCTGTTAGATCTCATTGGTTTATTAAGTCTTGTGTTAGTCACCTGTTGCTGTGACTGAGTCATCAACTTAAAAATGAGAACGATTTATTTGGATTCTAGTTTTGGTTTCAGAATGGCTAGTTTGTGGCTCGTGGGCCTATGGGAGGAAGTGTACCGTGCTGGTAGTAAGTGGTAGCGGAAGCTGCTCATCTCATTGCAGCTGAGAAGCAAAGAGAAAGGAAGAAGAGGAGCTTGGCCCCAGGATCCCTTTCTGGGGCATCTCTCCAGTTACCTACCTTCTTCTATGAGGCCTTCCCTCTAAGGGGTGGCACCTCCCAACAGTCCTGGAGCTGATACCATGTGCTTTGGGAGACAATCAAGATCCAAACTATTGCATGTTCTCTGTTTTTAAAATTATCCTCTGCCAAATTATTCTTTCAGGGATTGAATAGGGCATTAAATCTCCACTGTTATTCAATTCCGCTCTTTTTTTTTTTTAAGATATTTTATTTTATTTTGTCTTTTTGAGACAGGATCTCACTATGCAATGCAGGCTGGCCTTGAGCTCACTTTATAGCCCAAGCTGTTCTCAAACTTGCAATGATCCTCCTGCCTCAGCCTCCGAAGTTCTGGGATTACAGGCATATGTCACCACACCTGACTTTGTTTTATATATTTTAAAGATTGTAATTATTCTATCTTCTGGTTATATTGAATCTGTTATTAACATATGATATGTTTGCTTCTTTCACCTTTTTTTTTTTTTTTTTTTGAGACAGGGTCTTGCTGTGTAGTTCAGGCTGCCCTTGAATTTACTTTTAGCTCAGGCTGACCTAGAATTTGCAGCAGTTCTCCTACCTCAGCCTCCCAAGTTCTGGGATTACAAGCATATACCGCCACAGCTGGCCACTTGCAACCCTATTTAATTTAAAGCCTATTTTGTTTTCTCTGTTTCGGTTAGTATTTGTATGGAGTATCTTCTTCAACCTATTTGTATCTTTAGATCTAGTCTTTCATTGACTAAATTTGTATCTGTTGTTATTTTAGTCCATTCTGCCATCTCCCCCTTTTGATTGGAACATTTCTTCCATTTATGTTTAAAGTGATGATTGATGAGAGTCTCTGATTTACTGTTTTCTATCAACTGTGTGACCTTTATCTCTTACTTCCTACATTACTATCTTGTTTTATGTTTACCATAATTGATTATTTTATTGTGAAATATTTTAATATCCTATGCATTTCTCTTTTTTTCCTCTTTTTTATCTTTACTTTTTTTTTCCTTTTTTGCAAATATGGTTACAATGGGGAAAGTGAGTGTGTGTATGTTACTTTTCTCTTGTTGCTGAGACAAAATACTCAACACTCAAAGGAGGAAAGGTTTAGTTAGCTTGAAGTTTATAGAGGTTTTTAGTCCATAATCAGCTGGCTCCATGGCAGGATGACGATGACAGAGGAGCAACAGTTCATGGCAGCAAGAGAGGAGAGAGAGCAGCAGCAATAAGAGAAGGCTCTTTCTGTCTCTTACGTTGTATACAGGGTAACTGCCCTAGGGCAAGCAGAGCACTCACCCTTAATCCCACCATTGGACCACAAATCAATCACAAACTCTAGATTCAACCACGTCAGACAAGTCTGCCCCACCCCATGATTCCATGAAGCTTTGGGGGAACATCTAGACAAATCTTGCTATGCAGTTCAAGCTGGGCTTGAACTCACTATCAAGTCAGGCTGGTTTGCAGGGGCCTTCCTGCCTCAGCATCCAGGGGGCAGGGATTACAAGTGTGTGCCACCACATTCAGCCAGGGGATTATATTTAACATCCTATAATTATAATACTTCAATGTGAATTTATACCAGCTCAACCTCAATAACATGCAGAAACTCTCCCTCTGACAGGTCTGTCCCAATTTCTTGCAGTTATTGTTACAAAACTATATCTTAAAAACAAACTATATCCTTATATATTGTGTCTAAAACATACACAGTGTGATAAAAATACAGTGAATACTAAATTAAAACTTTATAGTAAATTATTCCCCTCAAAATACTCTCACTTAGAATATCCCATAATTCTTGCTGCTTTCTTGATGGTTCTAGTTCTAGAAGTTCTTTTCATGAGTGACTCTAGATGAGCTATCATAGCTGCCTTGAAATCCTGAATGAATTCAAAATGTTTACTTTTTCATGGTCACTTTGAGCAGGAATTCACACAGTACCAGATCCTGTGAATACGTTTATTCACAAAATAAATTCACGTAGTAGTGTTTTTACGAGCCTGCCTTTCCCTTGGATGGCACTTGGCAATGGCACACACTGTATTTTTGATCATACATTGTGAAGACACTCAAAAGAGGACTCCCAGAATTGCTTCAGAAAGGAGCAAGCGTGATGGAATAAGTGTGTTTGAGGTGAGGGGATATTTTGAGGGATGTTAATGGCAGTGTTTTTTTTTTTTTTTAATTTACACATTCACTGTATATTTCTGTTATGCCTTATAAACCAGTAAGTGGTTTCTAAAAATTAAAAATATGGAATTATAACCCAAAGTCACAATAATATTAGCTTTTAGACTAATGATTTAAATGTATTAGTGTCTTAAACCATGGAGCATACACAAGGTGAAATTGCAAACCATTGTTACACTAATACCAGCTTTTATAATTGTCCATATATTTATATACACCAAAATATTCATTTATTTTTAAAATTTGCTTTTTAAAAAACCGTTGGCCATTAGAGACATACAAATTAAAACAACTCTGAGATTCCACCGGACTCCAGTAAGAATGGCTGTTATCAGGAAATCAGATAGTAACAAATGCTGATGAGGCAGTGGGGAAAAAGGAATTCTGGAGAGTCCTCAGAAACTCAAACTAGAAACTTCTTTCAATCCTCTCTTCTAGGTATTTTCCTGAAAAAGTTAAAGATATCATATTACAGTCATACATACATACATATCCCCATTTCTAGCAGCACAACTTAGAGTAGCTAAATCTTGGAAGTGGCTTCTGTGTCTAAAAACAGATGAATGGGTAAAGGAAATGTGGTATTTATACACAGTGGATTACCATTCTCACATATCCTTTAAGTGAGTCATTTGTAGGAAAATATAACTTAAATATCACATGGCTTCTCTTACATTAGAAACCCAAATATAAATAAAGTTCAAAAGAAAAGATGGACAATAGGAAATAGGGAGGTAGATCTTTTACAAACAGGAAGGGACTGAGAGATGGAGGAAGAGAGGGTAAGGGGATTAAAAAAGAATTAAAGTGTGTTGTGTGAATGTACCAACTCCCTACAAGTGTGATCATTATGTAATGAAGATGTGTACTAATAAAGAATAAAAACTGAAAAGAAATAAATATTTTTTATTTTATTTTATTTTTTTGAGACAGGGCCTTGCTATGTGGTTCAGGCTGGCCTTGAGCTCACTTTGTAGCCCAGGCTGGTCTCGAACTTGCAACCATCCTCCTGCCTCAGCCTCCTGAGTGGTGGGATTACAGGCATGAGCCACCATGCCTGGCTAATATTTTTTATTTTTAATTGACAAATTATAATTGTACATAGTCGTGAGGTTCAGTGTCATGCCATGATACATGTATCCAGTGTATAGTGATTAAATCAAGCTAACATGACTGCCACTTATTTTTTGTGATAAGAACATTTGAAATGTAGTCTTAGATTTTTTTTTTTTTTTTGTCTTTTTCCTTTTTATCGGTACCGGGGATCGAACTCATGACTGCCTGCTTGCAAGGCAGGCGCTTATGCCGCTGAGCTAAATCCCCAGCCCCTAGTCTTAGAATTTTGAAATATACATTATTATTAATTACAATCATCAAGCTGTGTAATAGATCTCAAAAAACTTAATGCTCTAACTGGAAGTTTTTACCCTTTGATCACTATTTCCCCATTTCCCTCATCATGTTGCCTTCTGTACCACCATGCTACTCTGCTTTTATAGGTTTAATTATTTTGGAGATGCTCATAAAGCTCTGAAGTAGTGTGAGGTGTCCTTTCATTTCAACCTAAAGGATTCCCTTTCAACATTGCTCAGAAAGCAAATCTAGCATAATGAAATCTGTCAACTTTTTTCATCTGGGACTGTTTCAATTTTCTTAATTTCTCCCCCCCCCCCTTTTTTTTTCAGGGGGCGTGGTTCCTGGGAGTTGAGCTCAGGAGAACTCTTCCACTGAGCTTTACCCCCAGCTCTGTTTGTTTGTTTGAGACAGAGTCTTGCTACCTTCAGTATTTCTTGTAAGTCAAGTCTTCCAACCTCATTTTCTCTGCCTTTGTTTATCTGGAAATTTATTTCATCTCATTTTTGAAGATAGCTTGGCAGATTCTTGCTTGTCAGCTTCTTTAAGAAGTGTGTGTGTCTCATCCTTCTTTGTCCCAGCCTGTGCTGCCTATAAGGTAGCTGTTAATGTTACTGGGTTTCCTTTACTCCTGAGGAGTCATTTTCCTCCTTGCTGCATACCAGAATTTCTCTTTGTTCCTGTGGTCTTATCATTTTTATTTTAATGTGTCTATGAATGTATTGGAATTTATCCTACTTGGATTTCAATTCGCTTTCTAGATGTGTAGATTGTTTTCTGATAAATGTGGAAAGTTTTTAGGCATCAATTGTTTGAAGTTTTTGGGAACCTTACTCTGTTTCTTCTGATGTGCTTGCTGTTCTTATGTGGTACAGTTAATGGTGTCCTGAATTTTTCTGGGACTGTGTTCATTTTTTATTTTCTCTTTCCTATTTTCTGTATGGCATAATCTTTTTTGATCTGCCCCAAGTTTGCTAATTCTTCTGACATGTAAATCTACTGTAAAATCCACTAGTGAATTTTTCATATTGTTATTGTACTTTGTAACTTTAGAGCTTCCATTTTGATATTTTATAATTTCTATTTATTGATATTCTGTATTTGATATAACATTGTCATCATATCTTCCTTTTTTTTTTGTCTTTTTCGGTACCAGGGATTGAACTCACGACCACACACTTGCAAGGCAGGTGCTTATGCCGCTGAGCTAAATCCCCAGCCCCATCATATCTTCCTATAGCCCTCTTTATGTGTTTCTGTGAGACAGGGTCTCACTATACTGTTCAGGCTGTCTTGAACTCTTGATCTTCCTTCCTCAGTCTCCCAAGTAGGCAGGATTACAGGTGTGCACCATTATACCCAGGAGTGGACTGTATAAGTGTTTGTTAAACCTGACTTCTGATTGCTCTTGGGCACTTTCTATTGCTTGCTTTTTTCCCCTTGTGTACATGTCATGCTGTTCTGCTTCTTTGCATGTCTAATAACTTTATTGGAAATTGGACATTTTCAGATATTGTAGCTCTGGGTACTGTCCCCCTGGGGGATCACATTTATTTGTTTATTTGTTTAGCCTGGCTGGATTAGCTTAGTGAATTCAGTCCCTCCTTTTTCCTCTTAGTGCAGCATTAAGACCCTGGAGTTGTCTCTCAGTGAGTGCAGCCAGGGAATGCCGGTGGAACAACTGGACTTGGCAGGCCTCGTCTTTTCCCCGACTACTCAGCTTCTAACATCTTTTCAGGTCCTGCTGATTGTCTTTTTTTTGCCCCATCCTGTTACTTTCAACAGTGCCCTAGGGTATACATTGTGCCACAGACTATAATCATTTTGTTTCTCCATACTAGGACTCGAACCCAGGGCCTTCTTACTGAGCTGTATCCCCACCCAGCTCTATAGTTTTTGAGACAAGGTCTCCTCTGAGTCACTAAGTTGCTGGGCTGGGCTCAAACTTGTACACTTTCTGCCTCAGCCTCTCAGAGTACTAGGGTTGCAGAGGAGCACATAACAGCAGACAAATGTTGGCTCTTTTGACAGGATTGTCCCGAGACCACTGTTTGAGATCTTTATTTCTGACTCCAAGGAGCTCTTCCCAAGCTGCTGGTGTCCTCCAGTAAACTAGCCCATGCTACAGTGCAGCCTGCATGCCAATGAATCTGTTAAATACTTCCAAGCTGCCTTTTACCATTTCTTCTACTCTTTGAGAGGATCAGCTTAGATTCTCTATGGCCTGTTCCCAAGAAAGCTCATTTCAGAAGACAGTTGATATTCTGATTTGCGACCTGTTTCTATCACTAGAGTCTGAGATGGCTCTGGAAGGAGGGTTGGAGACAATGTCATATGTGTAACATTCCCATTTCAGAAACCAAACACTTTATGACAGGCATGGTCATCCATGCTTGTTGTCTCAGCTATTTAGGATCATTTGAACCTAGGAGCTGAGGCCAGCTTGGGCAACACACAAGGCATGCATTTTTTTCCTAAAAAAAGAAAACTGAAACTGAGCACTTGTGGGGGCAGGTGGAGATAGCAGCCTCTGGTCTTTGTATGCTTTGCCTAGTAGGGATTCTACTTTGTGGCCTATAGCAAAGGAGACTGGAGCTGTCTTATTTTCAGCACTACCACACCCAAGATACAGCCTCTGTTCCCCAGGTCTTTATACCCGGGGGGAAGAAAAGAACGTCCACGCCTTGGCTGTACTCTCTGCAATTTAGCCTCAGCCATAGGCTGCAGCAATAATTAGCCCTAATCCTGACCCTAATAGGCTAGGTGCCCGCACTTACCAAAAAGAAAGCCTTTCACCTGTGAACTGCTGGCAGGCAGAGGCTTTCAGGGCTCTGCCATATGACCCTGTAATAGTTGTTTCATAGAGTTCCAGATGGCACTTGGTCCTGATTTGCAGAACAGTAACTCTCATTTTTTTTATTAGGTCTTAGTAGATTTCCTTCAACTTTCTTCATATGCTGTGCCTCAAGGCCCTTTGCATCCTTGAAATGGTTCTTTGAAATTATTCTCACCAGTTTCATTGAGGACAGATCTGTAGAGCTTTTCATGCTGTCATGTGCAATGTGGAATCAACCAGGATTAATTTTATATTAGTTACGTCTCATTTAATCTGGAACGGTCCCTTGTGACTTTGACATTTTTAATATGAACAGACCATATGTTTTATAAAATGTCACTTGGTATAGATTTTTGTGTTTTCCCTTGACTGATTCAGGTTACCCATTTCTGCCAGGGACACCACCCAAGTGATGTGTCGGTACACTGTATCAGGAGGCCGTGGATACTTGCTTAATGACACATATGTGCCGAATGTCACAAAGCTTTTCTTCTTTCCTTCAGTACTGGGGATTGCACTCAGAGCCTTTGCACTATTCTCACCTCTTTTTTGAGAGAGGGTCTTGCTAAATCACTAAGTTATTCAGGCTGAGTTTGAGCTTTTGATCCTCCTGTCTCAGCCCTCCAGAATGCTGCGATTACGGGTATGTGCCACCATGCCTGGCACGCAGTACTTTATTGTTTACTAGTTAGGTTGAATTTTATGAATTGGTTTTGTAAATGTTGCGGGGTTATCTGTGGATGTTTTGCTTTATAAATTCTAGTATTGTAATACAGTTGGATTTTAAGAATGCTTTATATTTAATGCCTTTAATCCTTTGGCATAAATGTTATATATCTTTCCTGGTTTATTTTTTTGCTCTTTTATACTATCTTTTTTTAAAGTTTGAAATTTAAATTTCTGTGTAAACATTACTACTAGTATTTTTCTATATAGGTTACACCTTCAGTATTATGCTAAGGAAAGCTCTTCTAAGACTGCAGAAATGTTTTTCTACTATATACTGATTTTCTCTTTGTTTCCCAAATAGGTACATTTACGGGAACACATGGGTGAGAAATATACAACTTACAGTGTGAAAGCTCGTCAGTTGAAATTTTTTGAAGAACATGTGAATTTTTGAGAATTTTTTGACCTATTTTCAAAAGTTTCTGGCTTAAAAAACAAACCATAGAAAAGCTGTTTAGAAGCCATTTACCACCCTTTATGCATCTCTTTGAAGTTTTTGTACTTGAAAAAATTGGACAAAATAGAGTAATATGAAGCTAGTTCACAGAGGAAAAGCAACTTTTGCTTTCATATCCTTTTTATGAGGACAAATGTTACATTTGTTTGGTTACTGAGCCTTTTAAAGCATCAACTTTATATCTAGAGCTTTATTTTTTTAAGGTATTAGCTGGAAAGCAGGACCATAAAGCTTTGGGTTGGAACTTTTATATTGTACTACAGTGATAAAAGCAACAGGAGAAATAAAGACTATGTGTAGTGATGTTATCTGCTAACCTTCAGGAGTTGATACATTATTTTAAAAACAGTTCATTTACTATTCTGTGAAGAGGTTTAAAGAATATGAACTTCTGTGTAGTATATGGGCAACCCATTCCTTATTTACACATAGACTTCCAATGTTTTGTTTTCATTTAACATGTGTCTCATTTTGGGTTTACAGGAATTGATGTTAAACAATTCTTGCTTTGTATCATGTTTTTCTATTATTAGTTTTGTTAGATTCATTTTCCTATCAGCAAAAACAACTCATAAACACTAATTCTTTTTCCAGTGAAGCAATTTGTAAGTAAAGCCCAGATCCTTAGTTATATTGGATATATGTAATGTTGTCTCATAGTTTGTCTTCATGTTCATCAAGATAGTGTTGTTTTAAAACACTGTATATCACATATTTTATTAGTTTAAAGAAATAATGTTCATCTACGAAAGTTTTTATAGAATAAAATCCAAGTCTTGGTTAGTTAAATTTTACGTAGGTATTGAAAGAATTCTAAAATTGACTTCTCCAGATGTTTTGTTTCTACAAAAAAAGTCCCTTTTCTTTGAAAATTATACATACAAATGTTTTAGTGAAATATTCTTTAGTCACTTAAGTTTTTTTTTTTTTTTTTGTCTTTTTCCTTTTTATCAGTACCGGGGATTGAACTCACGACTGCCTGCTTGCAAGGCAGGTGCTTATGCCGCTGAGCTAAATCTCCAGCCCCTGTCACTTTTTAATTTTTACTCTGTCCCAGGTGCTGTGTCAGGAACTAAGATAGAGTGGTAAATCAAACAATACTCTCAGCCCTTAACAGTGCTCACAGTCTAGTTTCTGAGACTTAGTTTTACTCTGAAGGTTTACTAGAACTGAAATTATAAAAACCATCTACTTGGGGGCACATTTTTGGCAAATTGTTGGGCTTTTTGAGCTGTTTACCTCTTGCATGTTTTGTAAGTCTGTATCTCTCTGGATAATCACTGATTTTACTTACATCTTTTTTTTTTTTTTTGGTAATACTAGGGATTGAACCCAGGGCCTTAATATTGAGCTGTATCTCCAGCCCTTTGTTTTGAGCCAGGATATCACTAAATCACTAAGTTGTCTAGGTGGGGGTGGAACTTGTGATCCTCCTGCCTTAGCCAGAGTGCTAAGATTACAGGCAGGTAATTCCACCAGCTGGTTTTACTTAAGTTTTCTCATTAATTGATATAAAGTAGTACAAATTATTTTCCTAGGATTAGAAGAATCTTCTCTCTTACATTGTATTTTTGTTTAAACATTCAGTTGTTACCCTGATCTTGTATTTTGTGGGGTTTTCTTTCGTTAATTCACTTATCTTTTTTTTTTTTTTTTTTTTAAGACAGGGTCTCACTATGTAGTTTGTATTGGCCTTGAACTTACTTTGTAGCCCAGGCTGGCCTCAGCCTCCCAAGTGCTGAGATTACAGGTGTGTGCCCACTATGCCTGGTGCATATCTTCCTTTATTTTATTTATTTCTTGGTACTAGGATTGAACTCATGACCTCACACTTGCCAGGCAGGCAACTGTGCCACTAACCTATATCCCTACCCTCTTCCTTAATTTTATAACCACCTTCTAAGATATGCCACTGGCCACATTTAAGAGACTTTGATCTACCTCTTATGACATTAGTTTCTAAAAAGTCAATCACTGATTTTGATTTTCTTTTAAAAGTGTTTCTTAATTTGCATAGGGTTAGAAGGCCAAAAAAGTTCCATACCTGTACTCCAGCTATACTGCAACACTGTTACTGAGTATGACTTGCACAACCATTACTTGGAGGTTTTTTCCCCTGTTGCTTAGTGCAGGATTCATTATTGGGCATTCAATAAAAGTGAATTGTTATACATAAAATCACTCATTAAATATTTAGTTGTATAAGACATAATTAATAGATGATGACAGAAATGTTCTATGTTTACATTTTCCAATGGGGTAGTCAAATATGGCTACTGAACCCTTGAATTGTGGCTATTTTGATCAAAGAACTGAAGTGTTAGTTTCAGTGAGCCAAATGAAGTCTCTGTTCCCACTGAGCTAATGTTCTAGTGAGAACAATTAACAAATATAAACTGTGAGATATGGTAAATGCCATGAGACCTAGCAGGTTAAGTGATGTGGCATATAATTGTTATTTCTTAGGGTAGTAGGAAAACTCCACTGTAGTGATACCTGGGTAGAGACCTCAGTGAAAGGAGGGAGCCAACTGTGTATCTGAGGGAAGATATTCCAGGGCGGGGGAATAAGTGCACAAGTTTTTCTATATGTATACTATTTGCTCCAGATTCTGAAAGATAAACGTGCTGGCCTGTTACCAAGACTGGAATTTTGCCGCACTTTTTGTGTTCCTGCGGACTGAACATTTGCACTAAACTATATTCCCAACCCTTTTTATTTTGAGACAGAGTCTTGCTAAATTGCCCAGGCTGGCTTTGAACTGAAGGCAATCCTCTTGGCTTGACCTCCCTAGTGTGGTGATTATAGGCATGTGCCACCACATCCGACAAAACCATGAACTTCTAACTTTAACTTTTAAAAGTCTTGTAGAACAATCAACAAAGACCCTTTAGACCCAGACTTATGCTGAGTTTTTTTTTGATTTTTTTAATTATCTATAATGAATTATAAAACTTTTGATAAACTGTATTATTGTTTGAGGCATTTATTTTTTATGTATACCTGAAAGAAACACTACATACTTGTATTTTGTTTTCTGTTCTCCATTTAGAACAAGATTATCAAGATAGGGTCTCAAGTATTTTTGGGTCCAAACTGGTTAGAAATGAAACACAAAGAATTGTCCATACACAGCTGTGCTCTTAGAGTATAGGTGGTTTTAGCTCATGTTTTGGGTATGAAAGCAATTTAGTTTATCTCACAGGAAATAAAAGCAGGTGTTAAATCATGAAAACTCCAATCAGTTATTTTTAGCATGCCTCTTAATTTTTCTATCCCCTGATTTCTTGTCTTCTGTGCCTGATTCTTGAACAGGTAACCATTTGAGGGGATGTCGGCGATAGATGGGCCATGGAGGAAGTGTCAGCTAGACCAGAAGAGAAAAAAAAATCAATTATAGCTGTTGAAAATTTTAAAGACTGTTATGTATAATTTGCCTGGTTACCAAATGACTCCTGTGGTGAAGTTAATAACATAACATCAACGAAAACTGATAGTTTTATGAAAGTTTTGTGTCACTATCAAGACAACATACTGTAGAGTGATGGGATCAAGCCCTACTGTTTACACACAAGGCTTTACCCTGAAAGAAAGGTGGAGCAGGCAATGTGAGCACTGAGAGAAATTCTTGCTAGTTTTGACTTTATTGCCTGCAGTAGTTGCAGACGAAATAAACTGTAAATTTTCATACAGTTTACACCAACAGACACTAACATTCCATTTATCCAATGTAGTGAGGAGAAACACTGATGGGGAAGTTGAGGCCAAGGGACTGGGTCCAACCAAAGCAACCCAACTCAGAAAACCTACCCTGTCACTAATGCCCCAGCACCCACAAATTTCTTACCAAACAGGACAAAGCAAATCCAGCCATAACTATATAGACAGTCCATCCGAATTGTTCAGCCAAGTATCCGTAGATAAATCCAACTATCTAAAAACAAAGTATATTAAATAGTCAAGATGGGTAGTAAAAAAAAAAAAATTAAATGTAAAATCATACTTACTGCAGAAAAAAGAATAATCCCCTGAAACATCTGTTCAGCCAGTTTCTGGCCCTTGTAATCCTAGAGATAAAGAACAAGACAAGTATTGGTCCCACTACCAAGGGAATCCATGGTATGGAACTCCGCCTTGGCACGGGCCACACTAACGCTAACAATTCAAATTCTGGGTTTCCTGGGAGAGCCTGAGCACTCTAACGGTGCAGGGGTGAGAAGGTCCTTTCAGGGAAAGTGACGAGGACCCAAGAGGCACAATTCGGGAAAGACAGTGTGGACTATAATCCTCCGGGTTGGAAACCACGCAGCACCGGATTAGTGCTCCGACTATGGCTTCGAGGCTGCAGGGATCCCCGGGCCACACTCTCACCATCTGTGTGGGCAGCGAGCTCAGATGTTCCAGCATGATTAACGGAGGCAGACAGCGTAGCAAGCGAAGCCAATACGGAGAGACCTCGGCAGCCAAAGCCTGACACTGTAAGTCACAGAGTGAGCAGGCTGAAGCCCTGAGCTCTACGGCCTCGGCCCCGGAAGCGGAAGTCAAGGACAGGCCAGAACAAACTGTGGCCCCGCCCCGCGTCGTCGCTAGGCGACGTGTAGTTTGGCAGTTGGCCGTAGTACGGCGTACCGCCTGCTTGGGCCGAGGCGGCGATCTGGCTGAGGCATCGCGCATCCGTGAAGGGTTCCTCCTCAGCGCCGCTGGGTTCCGGAAGCCGCGGCCCCGAACAGACAAACTGTTCATTGCAGCATCTCAGAGGCTTTAAGGGCTGTGGGCGCGAGGCGCGTCTCCATGGAGACGGCCTTTTTTTCCTCTAGGACCCCAGCGGCCGGGCTGCCCCGTGGCGCCTGCTGGCCGATCTGCTCCAGCTGCCAGAGGCGCGGGCCGGCCGGCAGTTGTGGTGCGGTACTGCCAGGCTGCGGAGAAGCTCGCAGGCAAGCGGGCAGGTGGGCTTGGCTCGGAGTACAGCAGACTTAAGCGGTCCGGCGGTGTGCTGGGCCCCAGGGCCTGCGGCGCGGGCGCTGTGCTGGCGGGGCGGGCCGGGGCGCGGGCGGCAGCTGCTGACCTCCCACTGCAGGTAAGGGCGGCTGCGGCCAGCGTCTAGTGTCTGGTGGAACGACTGACCCATACCGGGCCTTTACCTGGCCTTTCCGGGCCTGGCGGGGTCTCTGGGACGTTTCGTCACCTCCTGTCACTCCTAAACGTGAGCGGGCCCTACCGAGTCTTAAAATGTAGGGCGGCCCGGCCGCATTTCTCAGAGAGGGGGAATGCTCTGGGAGAGAAGACCCGGGTCCTCGTGCGCTGCTCACGCCGCGTGGAGACAGCCCCCATCTTGTGGTCCCAAACTCTATCTACAAACCTATTTGTCCGCTTCCTAGACCCACGGTGGGCCTTTCCCATGGAGACCAGCCAAGGGTTTCCTGGCCCCAGAAGCTTGGTGTATATTACAAAAGCTCGAACCCTCCCCCGTTAGTGAGCTAGGCGGGGTGCACACGTTGAGAGGGAAACGTCTTGGGCAGTCCTCCCCTTTGGGGTCAGCGGGCTCTCCCTCTCTGCTGTAAGGGCAGGGTCAGCTACAGATGCTGAGATTCTAGGCACCTCGGGCAGGGAGGAGTGTGCCAGCGCCGCGATCATGCGTCTAGCACATTCTCCCCTCACCTTATTTGTGCCAGCCAGTGGATCAGGTTTGGCTTTTTTAAGAGGCCAGAGTATGTCAAAGGAGACAGCCACATCACACCAGAAATACTTGACGGTTGGATTGACCCGGGTGGAAGGGAGGCGCAGGAGATGTGGGACAGCTCAGCGTGGGGCTTGGAAGAGCTGAAACTCCTGAAAGAGAAGTGGGAACTAGCCATGGAGGGATGGGAGAAAGTGACTAGATCTTCTCAGTGCTTTTCCGCCTTTCAGTAACATTCAGACCGCGGTCTCCGAAGGAGCCCATGCATGAGAGGGCAGACATAAGGAAGAGCAAAAGTTTGCATGGGACTGCTTTCACTTGCAACGTCTATATTTCTTGTGTGAACAGACTTTCTGTTGTCTTTATGAATAAACATATTCTGGGTTGCTTTTTAGGTGCACTTCGTAGGATGCCAATTGCTGTAGAATCCTTAGGTATTTGAACTACAAAGATCTTGGGAAAAAAAAAAGGAATTGCCTATCAGGGGAGGCTATTACAATTCTGTGTTTTTCCTTATGTTGTAGTTTGTTTTCATGATTACTAGAATGATTACTAGATTCAACCAGTATCACCTGCTTACTACCACTTGCCAGGCAGTTTTGGATGGCAGCGATGTATCAGTAAACATTTTCGTCAAAGTCCCTGTGTTCCTAGAGCTTCCAGTCTAGTCAGTGAAGACAAAAGTAAACAAATACTGTTAAATTTGACTGGAAAAAAAAGTAAACAAATAAATAAGCCTATAACTGAGGAGGAGGAGTGGGGTGAATTTTCCTGTGGCTTTGGCACTAAGGAGGGGAAGATAAAAAGATAATTTTGGTTTGTAGTGACCTTCACAAGAGCAGTTTGAATGTAGGAGCAGAAGTCTGGTTGGGGGAGGCTGGATATGTTGAATTGTTTCAACACTTTAGGTAATCCCAGCACTCAGGAGGCTGAGCAGAATCTCTGCAAGTTTGAGGCCAGACTTGGCTACATAGTGAGTTCAAGGACAGCATGAACTGCATAGCCAGGCTCTGTCCAAAAAAAAAAAAAAAATGTGAAGAGTGGCAGAGAGATGGGCCTGTGATTCAGCTGAGGTAGAGTGGGGGAGTCTCCTGAAAGAACATGTTTAAACATTTTGATGGGTGTGACCCACCACAGTCTGAGAAAAACATGATGCTACACCAAGAAAACATTTATCAGTGTCCAGAGCACCAGTGGAATGGCTTTTCACAGAAGTAGTTGGTCCATAGTGACAGGAGGGAAAACCAGAAGCAGGCACAAGTGCCATAAGTGTATCTTTAAGTGTAGGTAGCTAGCAAATAAAAAAAAAAAAGACACTGGTCTTTTGCCCTCTGAAGTTTCTTACATATTAATGGGTATGTCCACCTTTGATGACTTGTTTGTGTGCTGGGGAGCAGGTGTTAAGGGGGTGATTTGTTTTTTATAAGTAATTTGGTGCTTACTACTACTCCATCTTTCCAGAAATCCCTCCCACAGCTTCTTGTTTTACTTAGAACAAAAGCTCAACCCTGTGCAATGGTTTACAAAACCTTCCCACTTCTGCTCTCTCTGCTACTGCCACACTGGTTTCCTTACTACTTCTGCTACGCCTCAAGACTGTATATCATAGTCTCCCTTTGAAGAATGCTCTTTGCCTCAGTAGCTACATGGCTTCCTCCAGGTGTTCCTCCCAGTGATGCCTTCTCTTGAGTATCCTTGGCGAAATGGCTTCTGCAAATGACCTGAAATTCTGGGTGAAAGGACTGTGTGAGTCCAAGCTAAGGAGGCTGCTGTCTTCAGCATGAGCAGGTGGAAGGGCCATACATAGCACTAGGAAGAGGTTGCGGAAGGAATGGCAGAGAGGGCCAGCACCCAGGTTATACAGGAAGAGAAGCAGCAGCTCTGCAGCAAATCAGCCAGAGCACAGCCCTCAAAGCGAGGCTTTGTGTGAAGTGAGGATGACCTTTATTTTTTATTTATTTTGAAGGAGGATGAGTACTTTAAGGTTTTATAATTTTTTTTTTTTTAAATTTTTATCGGTACTGGGGATTGAACTCACAACTGCCTGCTTGCAAGGCAGGTGCTTATGCCACGGATCTAAATCCCCAGCCCAGGTTTTATAATTTCTAAGGAAAAATACTTTTGTAGTGAATAGTGTAAGATTGCTGATCAAATGGTATAGTTGTATATTCTTACAAAAGTATATTAGTGTTACAAATTTAGAGTATACCTGCAGTTTTGTTGTGAAGATTCTTCTCAGCAGGTCAAGAACAGATCAAGGCAGCTTTGCTACTAGGAAATGAAATATCAATCAGACATACTCTATAATAATTGGCATTTTGCATGTGTTAAAGTTTTCACAACAAGTGGTTTTTGCCATGCTAATTTACTTAAGTACATTAAATACTTGCTAGAGTTATGGTTTTCTTGTGTCTGGCTAACTGAAATAGCACAGATACATGCATGTGGATCCATGTATATTACTATCTGTAACTGTTACTGGAGGTTGATGAACTAAAGTATTGTTCTGTGTATCATTGTTTGGGATTTATTAGAATGAGGTTTTGTGTGTGTGTGTGTTGTGTGTCCAGTTGTAGTAGAAGCTGGGTCAAAGCAGGCAGATGTTAGCAGCTCTCAATCTCTCAGCTTCTTTAGGTAAGGTTTAGCCCACAGTGTGATAGAGACACGTAGCACAGGGCATATAATGTGTATTCTTCAGAGAGAAAGTTCATTAATACAGTATACTTCATATATACTGCTCTAGGAAGAAATGACTATGTTTGTGTTTTAGATTGTCTGAATTACTTTAACCCAGATTGTTAGTCTGGCCCATAATACCCAGCTTTGAAACACCTCAATCTTTTTCCTCTCTTCAAAGGCCTTGAGAATCAAGTGCTTGATGTCGCGCAAGGTCCTGAGTTTGAGTTCCAGTACAAAAAAAAAAAAGCAAGTCTTTGTAAAAGTTAAGTAGTATTATAGGTGAAGATAAAGCTTAGAAAGGGCTAAAGTTCGCAAATGTGTAATCCCATTGTCATAGTTGCATAAAATCTGTCTTTAGTGAAACATTTCCTAGCGATTGCTGTAGAAACTTAATTGTGTAATAATTTTTTTTTTTGGGTGGTACTGGGGATCAGACTCACAACCTCGCACTTGCCAGGCAGGCACTTATGCCACTGAGCTAAATCCCCAGCCCAATTGTGTAATAAATTTAGTTATACTACCTTTCTTTTTTTTTTAAACACTACAGTCTTGTTCCCATTGAATTATTTGTTCTGATGAAGTGAAGGTATCAGATGAGCTAGAGAGGATTAATCAGGGCAGAGGGATAACACTGGATACATTTTCTTTCTTTTTTTTTTTTTTTTTTTGTTCCAGGGATCAAACTCACAACCTCATGCTTTCCAAACAGGCACTTATGACACTGAGCTAAATTCCTGGCCCAAGGACACTATTTTCTTAACAGTTGGTAGTTAACCAACAGAACTATAAGCTTCAGAAGCTCTATCTTTTTTTTATTCCCTCCTTTAGCAGATTTTTATGTGTGTGTATATGTGTGTATGTGTGTGTGTGGTACTGGGAATCAAACTCAGGACCTTGTGCATGCAAGGCAAGAACTTCACAGCTGAGCCAAACCTCCAGCCCCATTTAGCAAATTTTTAATTTTTGAGACTAGCATTCTAAATTCTTAGGTTACTTCACAGACAACTGAATCTATCTCTGATTTAATCTTGAAACATTCAATGTATTAGGCTAAGGCTGCGTATTTTTCCAGGTTACAGCTTATTGACAGAATACCATATATTCCTCTTCTTTCTCCATAAGTAAAAGTGTCTAGGTGTTTTGATTGTCATGTTGTTACTTTACTGACTTTGGGGACTTGGTTTTGTTTTTTAGGGTTAATAACTAATATATAAGACAGAAG